TTATTAAAAATATCTTTTATTTATGGTAGCAAAGTATAGAATAGGAAGGCCGAAGGGGCCCTTCAAATTTGGGGGCCCTGTGCTAGTGCACCGCCTGCACATGCGTAAATCAGGGCCTGGTGACCACTGACCAAACAACAGACCCATATTCAATAACCGAACGGACTAATGCATAAGAGAGAGCCAGAAGGCAATTGGATGAACTAAAATTGGATGAGTGACGTCTTATAAATCCCAAAACACAAAGCTTTGGTGGTCTGGTCATATAATCAATGTAAGTGCCGCAACTACCGGCGGCGCAGGCGATGCAAGGCACCGCCTGATGGGCCTACAAAATGTAAGTTTTGGGGCCTCAGATTTGTAGGAACTTTTTTTTTCGTATATAAAAAATAAATTATAATATTAACAAAAAAAAATTATTATTCCTTTTCACTTTATCAGCGTGAATTGTAAATGTGTGATATACATATATTGTAATCAATTTGGTCTGAATTAAAAGTCTATTTTTATACATACTGGAAACACCATACGGGACAACTCTCACCAATCACAACAAATTATATGATTATACAACGCAGTAGTATAAAATATAAGTAAACACTCATACGATTATGAGAACTGTCACTCGCTTATTCGACATTTATCAGTATTCAGTAGATAATTTATAATTACAGAAGTTATTTGTTTATTGTTAACATTTCGTATAGTAAAATTGATTTTTGTTTTATGTTTTATCGTTAAGAGGACGTGATACCTGCATGTCGCATGTGTTGTCTCTGTCTTACAAGCACAGAATAAATTTATTCTGTGTTACAAGTGCGTAACATAGCAAATTTTACGCTCAGCAGAACACGTGTAGCTCCGTTAGTTTAAAAATTAGTGCGAATTGACCTCTCATAAAATCTAAAGGTAAGATTATTATCTAGGCAACCTCATAGGTTTTTTATTATATTTTTATTTTAACGCGAGTTATGAGTATTTTAAAATTGTAAATTTTTTATACATCTTAAAATACTTATAACTTATAACTCGCGTTAAAATAAAAATATAATAAAAAGCCTATGATTTAATTAAAATTAGAGCACGCTGTGGCACAGATAAAGTTCTTCTTTATGTGTTGGGAAAATTTGGTAGCTCTACAACAAATATGGAGCGAGAAAAGTTGTCCCGCGCAAAACACTTTTTATAATCAAATTACGGGCGGTATAGCGTCCTCTTAAGTGTTAACGTTTGTTAATTGTTTTCGTACTATATGATACGTTTTTGGTAGACGGTAGTATAGATTAGTATGTTCTTAATTAAATTGTTTTAATTTTTAAATATTTACTCTAAAAGATTTTTTAGTGACGTAGATGGTGATAGGAGGCTTGATATAAATGAAGAAAATCTTCATATTACAGTATTTTTACCACTCATAGATACAGCAATCAAGCCCTATTTTTAATTAAGCCCTACTTAAAGAAAGGTTCTCAGGTTTATACGAAGTAACTAACAAATTTAATTTTCTTCTACCTCAAAATATTTTAAAGTTTAGTGAACATGATATTGTAAAGGCAACTTATGACTTTCAACTATTTTATGAATATTTTATCAGTACAGATATAATTAGACAAATGTTATGTATTAAAGATGCATTTAAAGATTCTCTAAAAACAATATACAGCATAAGAAATCTTTTGCAGTGAATACTAGACAATGATGTGGCCTCTATTTACAAGGATATTTTCAGTTCATGTATTATTTTCCTAACATTAACGGTCACCGTAACAAATGCCAAACGTTCATTTTCCAAATTAAAAATGAATAAAAAATTACTTAAAGGAGCACACAACACAAAAAATAAGTTTTTTTTATTTGGAAGAATGTTCAATTCTAAAGATAATGGTATAGGTTTTACGTTTCTACTCACATTATTCAATAAGTTATGAGCAATTGAAAAAAGACGTGTGACGTCACTGGGCCGGAGTCGTCGTAATTGCCTATCTTATACGTTTAAAAGTTCCTCGCTTCACACAACTATTTTTCTACCTAAACATTTTATTTTTGCAATTTAATTTACTTGTAAATATGTGGTTTTATGTGCTTAAGACAATGCAAGAATCATAATTTCATTATGACGTTTAGTTTTTTAAATATTAAAAATCTTAAAAGAGACATTTTGGTTAAACCGCACTTCATGGCGAGCGGCGCGTGGCGTTCGAACAACGTGTCCGCCGTGTAACCAAAATGTCTGTTTTAAGATTTTTAATACTTAAAAAACTAAACGTCATAATGAAATTCTGATTCTTGCATCGTCCTAAACACATAAAACCACACATTTATACGTCAATTAAATTTTAAAAAGAAAATGTTTAGGTTGATAAATCGTTGTGTGAAGCAAGGAACTTTTACACGTATAAGATAGGCAATTACGATGACTCCGGCCCAGTGACGTCACGCGGCTATTCTACATCTCTTAATATCTCTTAAAGTAATATTTTTTTTTACATCGTATCTTCACAAAATCATTTCATATAACCATAACTACAATAATTTAACATTTAAAAAAAATTTAAAGAATTTTTTTATTTGTGTTGTGTGCTCCTTTAAGAAACTCCATGCAACAAATTCGCCTAACAAATACATGTATTTTAAACATTGAGTGAAACCGTACAAATTAATTAGATATAAATAAAATAATAAATGATTTCGCTAATAATGAAGCAAAAAAAAAAATTTCCTTAAATAAAGTTTTTGTTTAAACATATTTTATTTATGTTGTTAATTATTAATTATAAGTATTTGTTGTTTTTTTATTCAATAAATCAATAAATAAATGTATTACTCATATAATCATATTCATGTATTATTAAAACATTAGATATTTGTCAAATTAAAAAATGGGTCTATGTACACACTACACACATATTATTATATAATATAACAGAATGATAAATTATTGTTACATAAGTTACCATAAAAATATATTATTCTTAATCATTATATGTTTATAAAAACATAATATTATATTATAAATTAACAAATTTGTAAAATAAAGTAATAAAGTTACATAGTTATAACTTAAAAGTTATAAAGTAGGTATGAAATGCCTCTGTTGATTTATTTTTGATAAATGTGTTTGTTGTTTTTAACAACATTTATTCTCCTGTAAGGCTATAAACATGCATTGTTTTTAGCTAAGCTGTTCCATGGGTGTCTTGAGGTAAAGTAGAATAGTTGAAATTCTAAGAGAAAATATTATAATTATTCATTTTTGTGGTGTATGATATTTGAGTACTATTGTATAACCGCATAACCCCTAGTCATAGCTCATCAATTCATCAACGACTCAAAATGTAGACACCATTGACGATAAAGGGCCTCTAAAATTTATCTCACACCTGGGCCTCAAAATTGTAGTTGCGGCACTGCACTGACGTCTAAAATTAAGGGAAGATACAAACAAAATGCCTAAATCATGTACCTGGTTAACACATTGGATGGATGTACCTCCTAGCCTATAATCAAAAGACAAAAATGACTTAGAGCGATAAAAAGTCATAACTTTACATTTTGATATATTAAGAGAGAAATTAAACATATTACACCAATTAATGAATTTATCGAGGGTTTCTTGTAGAGTGAGGCAATCATTATTTGAGGAAATTGTGAGAAAGATTTTAGAATCATCGATCATCGGCAAAAAGTAAAAGACGACAAGCGGAAACAGCTGAGCACATAGTGTTGATGAAAATATTAAATAATAGAGGGCCTAAATGGCTACCTTATGGAACTCCGGATGATGCTCGGAAGAGCTCAGATGACTTGCCAAAGAGGCTGACAAATTCTCGATGTTCACTAAGGTAGGAACTAAACCATGATAAAAGAGGCTCTCCAACACCTAGCCTGTCAAGGATATAAAGAAGTGCATTGTGGTCAACAGAGTCGCAAGCTTTTGAAAAGTCTGTGTATATCACATCAACTTGATTACTCAATTCAAACGCCGCATGAAGGTAAGTTACAAAGTCTAAATGACTGGTCGACGTCGAGCGACCAGGAAAGAACCCATGTTGATCAATTGATGAAGTGGTTAAGAAAGAGCGCTCGATTCGTTTGAGTACCATAAACTCAAACAATTTACCTAGGAGAGGTATTCCGGATATGGGTCTATAGTTAGCAACATCAGCAGGATTACCAGACTTTAAAATTGGCGTAACTCGACTTATTTTCCTCACAGAAAACTCCCTCTAAAAGAGATTGATTTAAAATTAAAGTAACCGGTAAACTGAGAGAGGCACGGCAGTGGTACAATATCATCCTGAGCCAGAGGGCAGAGCGCCATATGAGCGTTTTAAGTTGAAATGTGACATTGGATATTCACTCGATTTCTCAAATAGCGATTTTCTTATTTTGTTGTAATTTAACAACGAATAACTGTAGACAATTGAAATTTACACAATATGTTTATTTTATCAATTCTATACTTGATAAAATATTCAAAATATTTTTACTTGTCTTAAGCTGTAGACGGACCTTTTCAATTTTTCATTTTTTTTTCTATAAATATCAATAAAATTGTATTGGTTGGGTAAAAAACCATGAAAATTTAATACAAAACTCTTTATATATTGTTACAATAGCAGTTGATAACTTATACTAATACAATATATACGATATATTTTCCAAAAATTGTTTGCGACATAATAATAAAAAAAACATAATAATTGTTTGAACACATAATAATAATGTATTGGAAGATAAGTGTATACTTAATTTTAAAATTAATCACTTATTTACTTATAGTAAAATCAAAATATTTAATTTCAGAGTTTTCATTTAAAAAATACAGCTTAAGTAGGTAAATTGAATAATTAAAATAAAGTTATAATTAGAGTTTAAAATACATAATGTCAATTATAAAAAATACAATAATAAATTACAATTTATTATATAATCATAATAAAATTATGTTTGTACTTGTATATGGTTTGAAATAACAATTAACAATTAAGAATCACTTTATTAAATATGCCAATATTTAATTTACCAAAATATAATTACTTATTAGTTATTTATTTATTAACATTAAAATTATATAATGCTTAAGAGTGTTTCAACGTAAATAACACATAACAAAATTACAAAACATATCTTTCATTTAATTTAATGAATAGAGTTTCTCTTTATTTGGAATAAGATTTTTTCCAAGATCTTTTTTTCACAGCCATCGACGTCTGAAGAAAAATTCATCAGCTTATTAGTCAATGTACTTAGTGTATAGTCTGTATTTCCATTTTGTGCGAAGTGCTGCACAGCAACACACAAAAATAATCCAGTATCCCAAACCTTATAATCAGTATTTGAATGATCCAAATTAAAATACCTCCAATCTTTTATAGAAAAACACTTTCCTTTTCTCATCAAATGTTCCAACCTCAAATATTTCAATACTAATTTTTGGTAGTTTAAACCATGGGTTCCAAAGGCATCATAAAATCGAATCGATTTGTCTATAAAATTAACATAGACTAAAGCCCACTTCTTATTTGGTTTCATATGAATAGGGATGAACAGTCTTTCCTTTGAGAATATATCAATATTTTTTGTCAACCAATGAGTGCGTAGATATCCTTTTTCAAAAAAGGTAGTGAAGAAATGTGTATTAAACACATACAATGTTTTGGGAGACATTTTTGTGACCAGATCTAAGTATTTATTCACAATTGTATCGGTTAAACAATTTTTAGTGATTTTCTTTTCAGGTTCATCATTCGGAGCTTTTGGATCCATGTCTCTGTTCTCAACCTAGAATCATAAAAATTAATTAATATAAAATACGATAAAATATAACTTGTTATATATTAGTATTTATATAAATGAATACAGTTTCAATACATTTCAAAAATGTTTATAAGTTAATGTACTGTTAGCTAAGGCACGACATTATGAAACTACACATAGACCAAACCTATACGTTTTATGTACAAATTAAATAATTAAATGCAGTTGTATTAATCATATAAATTTAAAATAATAATTGTTATTCTTTTTTTAAAGTCAAGCAATTTTATATGGTTTTTGGCGTATGATACTTAGTAAATAACACAAATTAAATGTTTAAATTTGGCCACTTCCTCAGGCTATATCTACTGATTAAGGGAACGCCGCACCTATATAATATTATGTTGTATCCGTTTACAAGTGTATAACATGAAAACAACATTATCTGTGATCATAATATGTGATATATTGCTTTAATGATTATTCATTTTTGTAGCGAATTTCGGGTGTATAAAAGGAACAATTTAAAAATTGAATTATTGCAATTTAATATCTTTATATAGGTAAACAGTATGTTGATGGAACCAAAGTATAGGTTAGGTAATGACTCTAATATAACTCAGTAACTTATACTTATTTTTTAATTCGGTTTGTGGAACATTTAACTAGACTACTGTGCCATAAATTACTCCAACTCATAATTTTTTTAACTTGCTTACTCAGACTCTGTGTGTGCACTATGAAATTTTTTTAATGAGAACCTCTATTTTAAATTCTGAGCAAAGCGATTAAATTTATCATGTATCAGTATATATTAAGTACCTACCAGAAAAATAATGTTATATTCTAATATGAATTGTAAATACCTATAGTAATAAGTATTTAAAAATTTGACAGCTTTTTTACACCTCTAAATTCTTAATAGTTTTAAAACTAAATAACAATAGATAATAAAGAAAGATAAATTGTTTGTACTGCAAGTGTTTAGGCAGAGTTTATACTTAATAATATTTAATGGGAACATATAAAAATTAAAAACTTAATAACAGTCCAAGCTAGATATTTATAGGAAATGTTCTGTGTACTTTTTTAGAAGAATCTAATTCAATAATAAATACAATTAACTGTTTCCTAATTTATGGCCCAATACATGACAAAACCATTAAAAACTGAAAAAACTGAATAAAGAAAATTTTAAAGTTCCACCAGTTCCACTAGATAGTATATATAGTCCTGCGTTTTTATTCCATTTCCTTCTAAATACTTATTAAACTCTCCCATTTATCATCTTATGTGTATTGTTAATGAAGACACTATCTTTAATTATCCTTAAACAAATGTTTCTACTAGATTTTTACTAACATAAATTTGTGACATTATTATCTTCACTTAAAATTATATTACTTCTTATCATAGAGTTATTGTAAATATTTATTATATATTGCCCATTGTTTTGGGCTCCGGCCTGTTAATTATTAAAATAAAAAATTGATTGGTAACCTAATATCATCATTATAGACATATTTTGAAATTTGCAATAGGTACTAAATAAGTTGACACTGAAACACTTAATACTAAAGAAATTACTTATCAAATATAATTTCCATTACATCTTAGTTACTGGGAAATAACCCTAATGAAATTATGTAACGCGTTCTAAACAAAGTGATTAGTAGGGCTCGGATTTAAATGCCCTAAAAATATCAAAAAAATGCATTTATGACCTAAAAACTCTAAAAATATCAAAAAATGACGTTTCAAAAAATGCATTATTTATTAATTAAATTCAAATTTAATTATTATTAGAAAATGAGGAACAAATAAAATTATAATAAAAATTATAAATTATATTACAATGTACAAAAACAAATTAAAATTAAAAATTAAATTATATTTGCATTGCATTGTACAATAAGAATTTCTTTAATGTTTTGGAATTTAAATGATCGACAGTTGTCTGCCAATAAAAATAATTTTTATTACTATACTACTATGTAGTACTTATATTTCAATGAGGTCAATTTTTTGAGTCATAATACGACAAATAGTTCAAAAAGTCCTAAAAAATTAAAAAATGCATTAAAACCGTCAAAAAATGCCCTAAAAATGATGAAATCCGCTAAAAATGCAAAAATAGCAAAAAAATTATTGTGGTTAGATTGCGAAGTACTTGAAACATATTTGTAGCTTGGAAAGCATCGCGTAAGATATCCCAAAAAAAAGATGCAAATGCATTGAAATCCGAGCCCTAGTGATGAGTTACTTTTGTTACATTACTACTCAACACTGGCAATATTCGAAAAGACTTGACTGATTAAACAACAGTATTTAACATTTGCTACTACGCACTTTTTTTTTGCTCCCAACTATATAGTCTGACACTCTTCTTCTACACCTCTATATTACTTTGTCCCTCCACCTTTACTCATAGTTCAAACCAGCTATTTTGATGGAATTATGTAACATTTATAAAAAGTACTATAGGCGAATTACCCATCTCTGTTAAATTAGCTCACAATGTATATGGTCCCAATATAATATTCATCTTTTTCAGATCTCTCCTTCTACTTATTCATTTTATGATTATTTCTGTGGCCGAGTCTCTTCTCCTCATGACATGTCCAAATCATCTCAACACGTTCTTTCTCATTTTGTCAACAATTGATGCTACTCGTACACTTCCCCTTTTGAATTAATTTCTTATTCTATACATCATAGAATATAATGAACAATAATGTGTCATTCTGCACGTCATCCAAATTTCTGCTATACTCACTCACTGTTTCGTTTCTATGTCCACTGCCCAACATTCTAATCCATACAACATGCCTGATTTCAGAACTGCTTTATAAAATCTACTTTTTAATCAAAATATCATTTTTACATCCTCATGTCACACAAAGTACATGACGCTTCTCTCTCTTCATTTATCCATACATAATCACATAATCACATAATCCTATTTCTACGTCATCCTCAAAACCAACATTATTTTGACTACCTATCCAAATAACTTGAATCTATTAACTTTACACACTACATCATTACCTATCGGCTATCTTCATTACATTCCTTGTTCTATCAATTTATCAATTTCTTTCTCCAAAACCTAAAATGTTTGAGTGAGTTTTACTCCAATCCCAGTCACTTTCATCAAACGTTCTCCACTCTTCAAATCACTCATGCACTTCTTCACTAACGCAACATCAAACATATGGCGCCTCGTTAGTACATTACCATTATAAGTTAAATGTCCATCTACAGGAATAAAATAATCACATAAAAGGCTGCAAATGAATCATTTAAAAATACAATAGTGACATCATTATAGGTGGTATACGTAAGCACTTTTGGCTCTAGAACCATCAAAATGAAAACGTATTAAACATTTTTCTAAGGAACTAATGAAAATAAAATCTTAAAATATTATTTACCTTTAAGATCAAGGTAAGTAGTAAGTATTCCTGTCGGATCTCGATATCAAATTGTAAATCTACGTTTATTTAATTATTAAAATGTATTATTTTTAAATAATAAAATGTTTGGGTCACTTAAATCTTATATAATAAATGTTGAATCAATAAAATAGTCAATAGTAAATGTGGAAACGTTAAGTTTAAGATTAAACGCTAAACAATAAGTGAAAATAAAGCACAACCACGGACTAAGTCACTGAGTACTAAACTATTAACTACTAACGAATGCCGAATACTAAGTGGTAAGTCACAAACTTACGAGTACCTACTAACAAATAGTATTTACTAAATACCCTAAGCTACAAATCACAAGATAAGTAATCGGCATCCTGTACTAAAACTAAACTACTAAGTACTAACCAAATATCTACAGCATACGTTCAAACATCAACTAGCAACAAGTAACAACTAACTGTAGATCCCTAGCGGCACGCCGGCACAGCCAGTGAGGTCTAAGACTACGGTTAAAGATAAACTTAAATAGTATATAAATATTTCCTAAATCGTGCCTGAGACTGATGAAATGATGAATTCTTATATGAGTATATGACATTTGTAAGCACAACAACAAAAGTACAAAACATTGTCGAATATTCCATGAAAAAATAACATGGAGTAATCGCATACACCTCATACCACCAAATACAGATAATACCCAAATGGCTAAAGCATAAACTACACTAGATAAGGAACTCCTATATTATTTATATCGTAATAGTTGCTATAAGTCTAGGGGTCTAGGGCAGAAGACTTGTTGCATTTGCATATTTGTTTTGCACGATCACAAAAATATCAGAGTAAGAAACAAATATGTTTCATGCAGAATCTAAGGTAGTTTTTAAATTTTATTTTGCATATAAATGCATATTTCGAGTTTTTTTTGGTTTTAGTGCATATTTCTTCGATTACCTATATACTTTAAGATGCATATTTTCAATAATTTATCATTTTATCAATATTTTTACCGTCGACCGTCGACGTTATTATTTAATTTAAATATTTAATATACAACCAAAATATATAATAAATAAATAAATAATTTTAAAATTTGACCATATTAAAATGGTTGTTGACTGTTTCCTCACGCATGTTTTTCCTAGAGACACGTCTCGAGGATTACCGATTAGATTTATTTTCCGGTTATTAATTATATTTATGTACAGATATTGTTCACTGGATAACATATTATCAATACGGGCCACGGGGACGTCGGTCGCATACATCAAAATTTAAATAAAATATATTCATACAAATAATCTTATTTTTTAATGCATTATAATATTATGCATAATAATTTCAAAATGTATATTTTGTACATTTTAGTGCATATTTGGTGATTTTTTAGAGCTACAAGTCCTCTGCCCCAGTTACGACAGGGAAACTCGCGTAGCGGTTGGCCGTCATTTTGTCGGTTGGAAAAACATTTCATTCAATATACAAAATGTATTAGGTAGAACATAGTTTTTAATTGTTAAATAAAATAATAAATATAAAATAATTTATGTATAATATATTTTTTTCAAACAACAGGTTAAGAAATAATAAAATATGATAAAACATAATTCATATTTACCAAATAATCTCAACCGACAACTAGTATTCAACTGATAGCGGGAATTCGCTATCTATTTAGTATTATATAGAAGTCGGTATAGGTATTACCAAAAAGTTCAGTACTTATAATTAGGTAAAAGGAAAAATATGATGAGATGCTCAATCAAATTTCCAATTAGTATTAATATAAATTGTAACTAAATGACGAAATTTAAAGATAATTTTGTAGCCTTGTATGACCAATATTGGCAAAATATATCATTTTAAATATTGTTATAGCTACGTATACACAGGATTTTTTTAGATGTTAACTAGATAGGAAGTTGATCCTTAATTAAACTGAGAAATCATTTTAATATATAATATGAATTTGATGGTAATGAATAATGATACTAAGTAGGTAAGGTACATACTTAAAATCATTGCATTTTTTTTAAAATTAATTATTTTAAAAATATTGTTACATAATGGTAATCGGAATAAAAAACCCCAACCCTGGGAAAAAAACCCCCAAACTACAATACTACTCACAAACACATGTAAATTATTGAACAAATATTTTTTTTTAACTCTAATTATTGTAGTTACCGACATGGTAACATTATTAATATTTAATTATAAATATATAGGTACTTAAAATGTAGAAAATGTTCAATTTTTTTAGCTAAGAATTGAAAATTTAAAATATTACCTAAGTTTTTTATACAATTTTGACTATATTATGTATATTATTAGGAAGCGTAACGTTTTTACAAGTTTTACTTTTTATAGATGAAATATTTAAAATTTTATAAAATAATAATACAAATAGTTATCAGACAATAGTTAATGAATGTAGGTACTCAAAATAAAAATAAATCAGTTATCAAACTCACCATACTACAATCCGAGAGGTAACATTTTAAGTTCGTAATTCTTATGTCGTTTATAATATTATCAAAATGTTATAGAAAATAACCTAAACTAATAAAAAAAAAAAATATTCATAACTATACATAATATCACAGTATTATAAAACACAATATTATTAGTTTAAAGTATATATATTTGTAATAAAATATTAATAATGAATAATGATGCTAATTAGTAATTACACTAATTAGCGTCTAAAAAATTATTTGTTCAATAATTTGCATGTGTTAGTGATTAATATTGTTGTCTGGGAATTTTTTTTACCAAGGATCGGGGATTTTTATTTCTCAATTCTATATATAATTCTAAATATAATATATATACCGGACTTTTAAACTCGGGACTTTTTTCAGCGATTCATAAAAATCTGTGCTACCGATAGACAAGATTATTATAATAGACTGGACACCATGAACTAAGATTTACTATTATAGTATAATATAGACAATATAGTACATGGTATATTAGTATAGTAAAATACATCTTAGTTCATGCTGGACACTGGTAACGACAATCAACAAAATATGTTAATTATAATGCGGGTTTCCAGTGTTTCTTCTATACACGTGTGTCGTGTTCGTGTTTCGTATTACACGAAACATGTTCAGCTATGTCAACGTAGTTAAACTTGTGGTAACTATCCAAACCAACCAAACACAGCGAAGGATTTAAGGTGGGTTACCATTGCACCGTGTCGTGTCGTGAAATGTTGCCGTACTCAGATTGGTTCAACCGCGTGGTTAAATCTGGTTTCTACCACCAATTTTACGGATTCTACTACGAATACCATGATGTCCCACATACACCACGAAGTTGATTTCGCCCAACTTTTGAACTTGTGGTTACTGATTTAATAGTGAGTTACATAAATACATTAGTTCAAATATTATTTTATTATTTGTATAACAATTGAATGAAGAACCCATTTATGGTATAGGGTGGTATACTGGTATCATGTTTTGAAAAAATGGAAAAAGTGCACGACACGACACAGTGCAGTGTGAAGCCACCTCGAAACAAACGTGCATACAAATCCTTTGCTGTGATTGGTTAGTTAGATTAAGTTACCAAACTATTAACACGTTACCGCGTTGTAAGGCATAGCTGAACATTTTTCGTGCAAAGACACACGCGTATAGAGAAAACCCGCCTTTAATATAATATTATGTTTACTGTTTAGGTATATGGTAAAGACAGTCGACACTCGACATGGTCGGCGAGAGTCAGGAAATGGGTACCGAAAGGTTCCACCCGTAAACATATACAATTTTTTTTGTATTATTCTGATAAGTACTAGATATTTATGTCTAAACTTTTGAGTTTTGACCCCTCCTACTCTGAACTGTAAGGTACAAACTACAAGTACCTACTCCTCATCCAATTTATGACCAGAAACTACCCTGAAAGTTGAAAATATAAGGGTTTTTATACTTTTACTGTAAACAAATAGTTGAAAGTAAAAACAGTACATTCATCGCTCAGCTCAGAATCTAAAACATTACAAAATATGAAATATTTTTAATAAATTAAAATTTATATTTTAGCTCCAAAATAATTTGCAAATTTTCATATTTTCGACGATATGTTATCAAAATTTGAATTTCAAACGCTTATAAAAAAATAGCGCCTATGTATTTTTTTTTTAAGCATAATTTTATAATCAACATAATTGAAAAGCATAAGTTTATAATTAGTTATAATAATTATGACTATACCTTATTAAAGAAATTTTGGACTTGACGGCCATACAAAAATTAACAAATCGTCAGTTCTCCATTTATAGAAAAACATTATGGCATATTATAAAGTCACTTACCTTTCACAATTCACATTGTTCAAAATATTTGTATCTAAAGTTGTGCGTAGCCTTGCGTACTTGTGAAATATTGTCTTTTTACGTGTTTTATCTCTCATTATGTAATGAATCAATGAGAAATACAAATAACAATTTAAATCAAAAACACATAAAATTTTAAAATACATCAAACACCGATAACAGAATAGGTATTGCATAAAAATAATAGTACCTACTCATAAGTTATAATAAATAATATGATGCACATCTTGTGGTGTCCAAGTCACCATTTGCCACATCCTCACCGAATGCCGAACATACCACAACTTCCGAACAAGCCTCAACCTACCCAAATCACTTGCAGAAATATTAAGCAATAACCCTCAATCCATAGCCAACATCATCCAGTTCATTACAGCCGCGAACCTCCAAAACAAAATTTATTTAACTCTTAGTCATGGTCATGGTCTTAGTCTTAGAATTAGTACTTCCGTAAATTTGTATTAATTAATCAATTTCATTTTAAGCCCAATGGCCCATACTGCCGAGGGTATATATATAATAATAAAAATAAATAAATAAATAATATGACAATTAGATAAGTACTAAGTAGTACCTATTTTAGTTCGTTGATATTTGAAGAGTGATTAGGTTTTAAAATTTACTGAATGAACAAAACTCGTTTCGCCATTGCTTATTATTTATTAATTATCATATATAATTTTATGAAATTATTTTCTTATTTTGTGTTATAATTAGATACAAATTTTAACTCGATTGGTCGTGTTGGTGCTATATTTTGTATTGACATGTAATTGTACAATATACGTTAGATTATAGATAGAATCTGGCAAGTGGATAATTCTCTGCAGCTGTACTTAAGATGTCTACTGTCTAGTGTCTGGAGAAGTCACTTCAATGGATGTGTTCCATTTGAATTCAATGATATAAAATCATTTTATAAGAAAAACGATTCTGAGAGAAGGCGGTCAGTCAGAGAGTGAGCCTATAATTTTACTAACTCCTAAGTACCTACTGGCTACTAAGTATATTTTATGATATTATTGTGATTAAAGTAATTTATTTTACTATTAGGCATTAGTACCTACTATAGAAGGTTAAATTAATTTTTGACAAAAAAATTGTAAATAGGATTGCTACTTTAAGAAAATATGTTTTAATTACATAGCGTTATAGCAATGGGCCAGTGTGACGAAAGCTGCCGGGTTAAAATGCTACAATTTAAAAAATTTTCAATCTCAATAGTAAGTTATACATTATTATTATTACAATATTACGTAAAATATGTGATTAGTGATTACACTTTTCCGTATTTTCTGATAATATAATCACCATGGTTTTATCTACTACCGCGGTTATCACATTATTCCCATAATATGTGATAATATTGTAGAGTTATAGGGTTTATGACCTTTTGAGCCATGGCTGTAGTTGCCTCTTCGTTACTACTCGCCGCTTTCTTTACTAAATTCGCAAAAAACTGATTTTTACATAAAATTCTTACAAGGTTTTCAAAATCTTGATTCTAGATTAACAGGTTTTATCTAATATTTTTATCAACTTTCACTATTTATTTTTCTGTTTATAATTTTAACAACTTATATTAATAAATATTATTATTTAACAAGAGTTAAAAGTGACAAGTGTAAACACAATATAATAAGTAATAACGGCGGTAATAACATAAAATGTTTACCGATTATATATTTACACCCAAACTTTACAAAGTATATACTGGAATTCGGAGAAACGATGTAAGCATAAACTTGAACTTGTATTTGTTGTAACACTTATATAAATAAGCGGCTTATTTATATTAATTATTCTACATTCTTAGCTATTATTCTTCAAAATCAAATGTTTAATATGTCTATGTAACTTGAATGGTTTACCCATAAAGAATGTGTTTCATTTTTACTATACAAATTAAATTTGTTCGTCAGTGAATTGTATTAAAATAATTTGGAGCTTTGTCATTAAGTGTTTTAGATTTATACTTTTGTTTAGTAAATATTGATAAATATTAAAAAAATATAATACAATATAACATATTAAATATAATGTTTTTTTTATCATAATCTAACCTAACCTATTTTGATATATTTAAAAAAATTCTTATTAAGCTTTTAAATATGTGCGTAATATATCATTACTAAGCTTCTTAAAGAATTAATAAAAATAAATATTTACACTTATCTACAATTTGTTTTGCATATGTAGTATTGCAGTTATTCTATACACCTATACTCTGTACAATAACAGAACATGTAGCTGCCCAACAAAAATTGGTTCTTCTGTGCATCCCTACGAGCACCTTGCCATAGGGAAACCGGTCTCAATGGCAGGGTGTAGCGTAAAGATGCCTGGAATGAAGAGGTTTCTTGCTAGACAAAGTATAGTTTATTAAATAATTTTCTCTATAAAATCTAAATATCTTTTTGACAACCAGAAAGTTACTATTTAAATCATTTCTTTATTTGATTTATATACTGGTAACTTGTTACAAATCAGCAAATATCATTTAGACTAATTAATTAGTAATTATCTTGTGATTGAAACTTAAATTTATATTAATATTAATATATTTAAGCTCTATTAGGATGTATGTGATCCTGTATCGTTTATTAGATGCAATTTTTGATTTGTCTACCGAAACTTTTAAACTAACCAAGTTTTTATGTAGGTACATACTTTGAAGTTTGAACAGTTCATTTATTAATATAAACTAACCAAGTTTTTATGTAGGTACATACTTTGAAGTTTGAACAGTTCATTTATTAATATAAATAAGTACATATTATCGTTCAAATAAATATAAATTATATGTATTATTTACATATAAACAAATAGTATTAAACATATTTATTTGTTTAGTCAGGTGACCAATAAGCATTAATATTGAGTTGTGACTATATCTGTAAGTAAAATTAATTTAATTATAGGAAACATACCTCATATCAGATAATAATTTACTGTATTTTCTTTCATTTTTATTTTTAAGGTATACCATGGTATGGTAAATTTAATTGTGGACTTATAATTTTAAATGTTAGTTAATCCAATGCATTTTTGTAAAGATTTGTAAACTAGTAAAAACATTAATAAAGTACTATTTTGACTTTACTAGTTAAACTATTTCTATAATATTTTGTGATTATATCTAGTCTAATTTTACCTAATCTAAATCAATTATAATAATAATAACGACGTAATACTTTAAATATAAGTAAAATTATGTTTTAGACTTACCGCCATTTTGTTATTAAAATTAATGCACTATGAAAAATTTAAACTTTAAATAAACACTATAACACTAGGTATGGTACTGAAGTATTAGTGACCAAGGACAAAGTTATTACATTTACAGTTTTACAATACAAAGCAACATATTATACCTACTCTATTTTCAGTACATCACACATATTATTAATTTTACTGCAGTGTTTTTTTTTCTGGTCCGTCTAATAATTCTACTAATATATGACCATTGATTAATAAATACTATTATACTTATTATTGTATAATTAATCAATGATATGACCTTTGAAGTTAGAAAAACTATTATAGATTAGATAATGTTAATGTGCCTTACTGCCTTGTATAAATAAATAATAAGATAAAAACAAACCAATATGCATAAATATAACATTTTTCTTTTTATATATTCTGTTATACATAACAAAGGTTACAAAGTTATTCTTAATATTTCATTAGGAACATATGAGTCATGATTATTAAAATATTTATATTGGTAATCATATTATTATGTTGGATAAAAACCATCTAAATTGTTTATGTTACTATGTAGCTATTTGCCTATTGCGTAATGAATTCTTATCCTTCGCTGTTTTGTATTTCAAAATATATCTGAGGATATTTGAGAGTTGTTGAAGACATTAATCTGATTGATAAAATTTAAAAACCTGGGGAGGTTGCTCTGCCGTATGGAAGTGTACTCGGCATAGAGTAGGTCACTTTTGATGAGTTAAATTTAAACTATATATTTATGTTACTTTTTAATTGGGGTATGAGAAACTTGAGAGAAACCTTATATTACATTTTCAAGTTTTTTTGCATATAAAACAATTATTATATATACATAAAACAAAAAATTGACTATAAAACTACATATTGTATTGGTTATAAGTTATAACTTATAATAAGTAAAGACCGGAATTATATACACTATACGGTGCTAAATTTGATGCAAATAGCATATTCGAAATGGCATAATATGCTCCTATATGCACAAAAAAAAACAAAAGATGCAGTATATGAACTAGATGTTATTTTTTTATTAAACGTGTATAATATGTACAAATTATATGCTTTATTGACAAAATATGCTTTATCCCCTCAAATATGCATCAATATACAAAATAAAATTTGTCTGTGAAATTAGGTTGATTTGAAACTCCCACAATTTTAGCCCTTAAGGTTAACCTTTATATAATTGTACATACACTCAGTATGAATATGAAAATACATATAACATAATATTATGTTAGTAATATAATATTATAATACCAGTTTCTAGTTATAATTATACTGATTTTTAAATTCAATATATTACTCAATACTTTTAAAATTGAATATGGCATAGTGAAAAATCATACACCATATTCACTCTTGGATGTGTCAATAGAAATTTGGATGTTAGGTTCAGTGGAAAGTGTTATTTCACTGAAAACATTTTTTGGAGTGTTCGCAAAGGCTAGTATGACTGTATGTAAACTGTATGCACAGCAGCAGCTGCCTACTACAATTGATAGCCGAACGCCGCTGATCAATCACAGACCATCGGTATCTGACAGAGGGAGATCTGAACATATATACATGCTCAGTATACATGCACAGAAGTAGGTCAACTTAAAGTGAGGGGTGAAATGAATATATTATGATAGTTTAGTTTTTTCAAAGGAGGTATATAATGTTTTTTCAATGTTGCATTATAACATTAGAAATAATATTGGTATTAGACATTTCTCTTAAGAATTTTACGTCAAATGGATTTTTGTGTTCAAAATTTTGATTGTATATGTTGAAAAATATTTCATGTTTATAACAGAATTAGAAGAATTAGCTGGTGTTGATAAAATGCTTGTTTCATAGTTTAGTGATAATTTAACTCTGCAGTAATCAAACAAGTGGTTATTCTCCAGATATGGATAATTAACTGACTATTAAACTACTTCTAAAAAATTTCTTTGCATGTATATGCGAGTGTCATTTGCAAATATTGTATTGTAATGTCTGCAAAATGTCTATTATACTCATCTGAAAAAATATGCATTAAAAATGGATACACAAACCTTTGATCAACCCCTATAACTTTAATATTTAAAAGTGGTAAAAATGATTTATTGAGTTCTCACGGATGTTTCTAAATTTATTTTTGATGTCTTATAAGTATTATAAAAACTTTATCTTTCAAAAGAAAATTAAAACTTAAATTTAGTCAACTTATTTGTATTTTTTTTTTACTTACATTTTATGCAAGGGTTTTATAATTTTAAATGTTTTAGTATTAAATTCTAAACTTTTGTTACAGGACTATGTTCAACTATGGCAAGAAAAAGTAGCAGATAGAATATTAATGACAGTATGTATAAAACATATATTTTTTTTATTTTTGTTTAACATTTATTTTACATTGCCTAGTGTTTTTTTTTAATTTATAACTTATATGACTTGTAATGGATCATATATAAATAATCAAACTGTGTTTATTATTAATGTAATAATACTATAGTTTATTATAAACAATACATTTTAAGACATATACATATATCATATAAATATTAAACAGAATTGTTTATGAATTGCATTTGTGTATGTATTTATCAAAACGGATAACAGTGAATGTAGTTAACTTGGTAACGGTTTGGGTATAGACTTTAGAAGTTATAACTGAACAGTGAACACAATGAGCAGTCTCTTAACATAGTTATTCCAAAAAACGAGTATGGTAAAGATTGTTGGTTCAATATCAATAATTGTAAAGATTTTACAATTTATCTTTATTCTTTAGCATAGTAGGTAAAAGAGAGATATTTTGGTGTTCTAGATTAAATCTTCTGAAATTTTGAAATTCATTTTTTTTCTCAAAGTGAGTTAATGCTATACTACAGTATATATTTATAGGCTAATTGATGATAGTCTATATAAACAAATTAAGATTTATAAGGTATTTGAGTATAGACATTTTCAATTCAACTAATATTATAATTTATAACATATTTATAACTAGGGCTCTGATCTTATAGCAAATGCTTCTTTTTTCATAATATATGAGACAGAAATTTAATTTTTATACATAAATTTGTTTTATGTCATTCCGATTCCAAATAAACCAATTTATTTTTGCTTTTTTTTTATTATTAATTATGCTTTAAAATTCAAGCCCTATTTGTACTATTAATTTCTCTTTCAGACTTACATCGTTTCACAAGTTGCCACTTACCTTTCACCTGCATTATTATACATGTATGGTAAATGGCTGTTAAGTCCAGAATTTGTAAACAAACTATTTTTCCGCGGATCAATATTAGGAATAACTTTGATGACAACATTTATTTTAAGAAGTTATGGAAGAGCTATAAATCCAAAGTATAAAGCTTTTCATAAAGATCTTATAAATGCTAAATTGGATTATTCAACTGATAATAAGGTATGACAAATATATTTTGTTAAGTATTATTTTATTTCAACTCAAAGTACTATTATCCATTCCTTTTTTTTTTTTATTAGAAAAAACTGCACAGCTACGACTTTGATTTTTCAGCATGGCCTGTAGACTTTTCATGGAATTCTGCTGAAGAGTATGTATTTAATTATTCCACTGTATTTATGAAATATTTGTAATTGTTGATCTATGATTTATTTATTTTTAGAGAAAGTTACAAATCAAATTTAACAAGTAATAATTTTAAGATGACACTAAAACTTTTGAGTAGTCCTACTCGTCTTATTGGGTTCATAGCAGTGCATACTTTTGGAATATCATTAATTTATCCTGGTTCTACTTCACTTTTATTCTATTTAAGTAAGATTATTGTACAACAATGATATCAAAAAATAATCTATATGAATTAATTTTATTGCAGTGGATCAGAATTTACAGAAAGGAAGAAGAGCTTTAATCACTTCATTTGGAGGTGTACGATATAAATTAAAAACTATTGATGGAAATTTTGTAGACTCGATGTTCATAGACAAAAGGTTAATTATAATTAATATTTGTGTAATATTAATTAACTTAGTTTCTATTAGATTAAAATATTAATTGGTGGGAATATGCTAATCTTATAAATTTGTTATAGACAATCAAATATTAATTCTTTGAACCCAAAATTAATTATTTGTACTGAAGGAAACGCTGGATTTTATGAAGCAGGAATTATGAGTTCAGCTATTGAAACTCATCATTCTGTCTTGGGATGGAATCATCCTGGATTTGGATATAGTACAGTAAATATATATATATTTAAAAATGATTTGTCTATTGTTTATCATTTTTTATTTGTTAACAGGGTGTACCATATATAGAACAAGAACAAAATGCAGCTGAAACTGTAATAGAATTTGCTATTAAGCATTTAAAATTTAGTCCTAAAAATATTATATTATATGGTTGGAGTATTGGTGGTTTTGCTTCCACTTATTTAGCCAAAAAGTTTCCTGATGTACATGCTGTGGTAAATGTTAATAGTTTATGTGCTTAAAAAAGACTTGATTTATTAGCTTATATTTAGATACTGGACGCTACATTTGATGATCTGGCACCGTTAGCAATTCCACGGATGCCTAGCTTTGCTGAGAAACTAGTAGAATTTACTGTAAAAGAATTTTCAAACTTGAATGTGGCTGAAAATTTAGTTCAATATCCAGGCCCAGTTCTACTAATTCGACGATCTAGTGATGAAATCATTGCACTTGAGTAATATATAAAACTGTTAATTTATGTGTATTATCTTAATTTATATTTTATTATTTTAAGTCCTCAAAATGTAGCTACAAATCGAGCAAATTACTTATTAGAATTATTATTAGAAAGAAGATTTCCAAAACTCTTTTCCAGTGAATCTAGGTCAGCTCTTTGGGTTTGGCTATCCACATCTGGTGAACAACAAAGTATGTAATAAAAATTACATGGTAGCATTTTATGTATTTTTAGATGACTCATTTTAAAATGAATGAATAATACATTCAATATTTTATAAAAACAAAAAGATTATTTTTAAATGTTGTGAATACTTCAATATGAATATAACATTTTAATCAAAATATGTACCAAGAAAATAATTATTTGTTGCTGGATTATCTTTAGTTATTACTAATTTGTTAGTAATATGAAATTCCTGAATATTTTTTACTTTTTTTTTAGATCAAGTGCATTTGCAATACAATGTTGACTTAAACACTCAATCACAACTATTTCCATCATCCAGTAAAAATTATCCATTAAATCTAGGTGATGGTTGGAAAGATCAAGAAAAAATAAAAATGCTACTGTACTTGGTAAGTTATCATTTTCAAAGACTTTTCTTGAATTTATGCATTTTTTACTTTTATTTTTAGGCTGATTATTATATGAAAGACTATAATTCCACTCATTGCACTCCATTGCCAACACGGTATTTAGGTTACATAATTTAAGTAAAAATTAGTTTTTTTTAAGCATCTTTTATTAATATTTTGGTATAATGTTTCAGTCTTCATGTTTTTAACCTTTATATAAATCTTATTATTAGTAATTATTGTAAAATAATATTTTGTTTCTGTATATGTATATAATTATGAAATGTTGGTAAATTTGAATAATACATTTTAACTTAAATAGGTTATTTTTGTTGTATTTAATTTTGAAGGGGCTACTATCCAAAGTAAAGTTTCTCACATTCTAATTACTTATTACATAGCCTATGGAACTTTTTAATATACTATTGTGATTACCAATAACTAGCCAATAAGAAGTTATATTAATTAACAAGGTGGCACACCGCACTGGTGCGTCCTTTCTTTTATCTGCCACTCTTGTTGGCACTCTTTCTTTTTAGACATACTACTCATAATATCTGGAATATAGTATAATCCTGACCAAGTTGCAGCTGACTACCTTGCCTCCCCTATGAAATACCTATACTTATGGCTAAAGTTTTTAGAATAATAATATTATTTCTCGTGATTAATTAATAATGTGTATATTTAAGCAAATAAATAAGTGATCAAATACAGATAGAGATTACTAGATTAGTATACAGTTATGGTTTACAATTTTTTTTTATTCCTAACTACCATAATTATTGGTCCATTATTATTTGATATATTTTATGTATTTCAAATAATCATAAAATTATATTTAAAGATACTTTTTTTAAATAAACAATTTTACATAATAATATCATTATTTTTTGGTGATAATTATAGTTAAAATAATAAAATAATATTTAACGTTGAATAATACATTTTACTTTAATTTAAGTCTAGATTATTTTTATTTGTTTATTAATTGTAATTGGGATTAGGTGAATCAATAATTATATAATTGGTTAACAAACATTTATCCCATACAGCTACTACATGTTGATGGAGGAGCTGGAGCAGATGTACTAGGGCCAAATCCGCCGAAACGTCGTTGAGGTCTCACAGTCCTAAAAAACATATTATTGATACAGTTGTCTTGTATATTAACAAAGAAATTAATATGTTGAAACAGATAAAAATTAATTTTGAAATCTTCTAATAAAAATAAAATTTTAATAAATCATTCTTACCCGCTCGAAGAAGAACCAGGGCGCCTGTAAGTAACTGTATATTGATTACCCCATCTAGTTAAATTAGGCCTCACTAAACTTTGAACACTGAAAAAGTAATTTATGATTTAATTTTATTTGCTTTCTATAAATACTCAAATAAACAGGACATCTGCTAGGTTATAAGTATACTCCTGCATGTGTTAAGAGTAAGGCCCGGCAATGGCAATTAAAACTCTTAACACAAGCGGATTATAAGAGTATATTTTTAAGCTATTATAAATTGATACATTAAGGTAATCAATAATTGAAATACTTACAAAAATGAAACAAAGTTTATAACACCCCAAAATGTGTCTACAATTTTTTTCTTCATGGGAACAGTTTCATGTAAATTTCCACCTAAAATGTAGGGAAAAGAGTATTATTATCATCAAGTTTAATGATTTATATTTTGAAAATATAAATCATTTGGAATGGGTATACTACTATACTTGCTGCAAAAGTAGTTTCGAGGGGACAAGATCCCCACTTACCACCAATAAAAAAAAATTATTATATTGATATATTGTATCAATTTTTTATTGAGCATCCCCCGTTAAAATTGATTAGATCCAAGCCTGACTTAGTTTCTAAGTCCAAATAATAAAATCAAGACTGACTGGCGTGGAGGAGCTTTGGCTTGTCTGGTCCAATGACATCTGAATATGGGCTGTTTGCAGCTTTCCTAATTAGGCCTACCCTCTACTTCTCCGAGTCCTTTCGATATGAGTATCGTTTTCCTGGATGCTACTTCAGTATACAATCTTCTCGGAAATACTTATGGCAATATGAGTGTACGTCCTGTGAGGCAGCATTTTTTTTTTATTGTGTAATTTAATTTAATTATCAAGTATTATTATAACTGCATTATTTTATATTCAGTATTTTGATTTATATATAAATCATCCTCATGGCTTTTTACTATTGTCTTATCCAACCCTACACTTTGCAGCATTCTCATGTAATATCAAAATCTGTTTTTTTGGATATCTTTCCCAAAGGTTATGCACTATTATTATCCTATCCCATTTCTTAGAAATTCTATCTTCGCAAGTTAATTTTTTTATTTACTTGTGTCACAGGTACTTCATTAAATAAAATAGTAACCGGCCCACAAAAAAAGCTAATGGTTGTATAGAAATGTAATGTAAATAAACCCTTATATTCAGAAAGGCATCTGTCAGCCCATATCTTTATTGAAGGTAGGTGAATACTTATAAGAAACTTCTTCATACCATAATTCAAAATCCGTTTAAATATTTAGTAGAAATACAAATTTTTTTTTTTAATTCTAAGGTCTAGTATCCAAAATATGTTGTACACTATAGATTAATTCACTTTACTGGATATTATATCAAGTGTAGACAATATTATGAACTTAATAAGCAATTAACATAAACTATATAATATTATTTTTGTGTTTGATTTAATATTGGAATAAATGTATAGAAATTTCAGTAAGTACCTTCAATTAAAAACATAAGTGACAAAAAGTAAATTACGAAAAGTTAACTCACTTTGGGATATGTAAACCATTTTACTTTGACGTTTATTGTTTTCTCACACTACAATAACGTAGTTACTCCTTGTCAATATTTGTTTTGAATTTAGTAATTTTAGTAAATCTCAAATTTTGCAACAACGAATAATAGTATTATTAATTACCACAGACACGTATAGTAAATAATTATTGCGTTTACTACCTAGCAATCAAAAGACGTATTACTCAATAAATCCAAATAATATAAAATATTATGACGATAACATTGATAACAATATAATATTTATTATTATTATGATCAATGTTATTATTATGGCTTTTAGTTGGATTTACTTTTTAGTTATTTTCTTTGTTATCGCTTATCGGCCTTCAGTACCACCATAGAACGTACCACGTAGAGTATCAACATTTTCAAGGAAGAAATTGTTGTGTATCGATACGTATCGGATCAATTTTGAGCGTTCAAAAAGGTACATGACGTGCAATGTACAAGCGATACGTACCGACCCGCACCGGATTCAGACTCCGATGCGAACCGATGCGTAAATACAAACTACTAACCTATTCCCTATAATTGGTACGTATCAAATTTTAGATTCTAAGCGGAGCGATGAATGTATTGATTTTACTATGATGTGTGTTTTTATATATATATTTTTTTTTTTGGTGTCTGTCATCACGGTTTCTTGCAGTAATAGTGCTTCGATTTTCTTCAACAACAACTTTTCTGGTAGGAAAGTGAATCCAGTTGATGAATTCGAGAGGTCAAAATTTAAAATTCCCAATAGTTTTCCAAAGGAACAGGAAGAACGGGAATTTTTAGGAAAATCCATTTTTCGAAAAAATCGATTTTGGTTTTGAGTGTAACTCTAAAAAAATGACTCTGGATACAAGACATACATTTTCATTGAATATTTGTGTAAGCATTTTCTATACACCTAAAATTGTTCAAAATATTTTAGTTTGTGTTGAACTATTTATAGACATATGAAATATTCAAATATTATTTGTTTTTTTTAAACCCAAGTCGATAAAAAATTTTCGCTTTGTCAAAAAACTTGAAAATGTAATACAATTTCCCTTGTAAGTTGTTGATATTTGAAAAAAAGTTGAGACTAAACCCATAATAATTTTTTATGAGCGTTTAAACTTAAAACGAAACCAACTTGGTAAGAAACTTAGAACCAACTTTAGTGAGATAGAAGTCGAGTGTGGAAGCACAAGTAAATGAATTGAGCTTTTTCATTGATGGTTTTCGTGTTAAAATCATCATGTAACTTTAGGTTTGAGACGTGTATGTACCGTGTACGGTGGTGTATTGGAGAGCCATCGAAAAGCTAAGTTTTGGAACACTTGGATTTTGCTGAGCTGTATACCATAAGTCCAAATAGGTTTTGGAGGGTTTTGTAAATTTATAGTTGTATACTGGTATTATTATTTTTTGTTATTAAATGACTGAGTATACGCATACGGGCGTTAAGAATCAGTCTTTTGATCCGTATATGATTTGTCCATGTTAGTCGTTTGTTGAGAATGAGTCCGAGGTATTTGGACTGTTTCCGATGAGGGAATTGGGATGTGTTTAATGTAACGGTTGGACGTATGTCCTTATTGAGAGTAAATGTAGTGTGAATTGATTTGGTTAACGAAAAAGGTTATATTTTTAGAATATTAGAGCCTAGAGGATATGGTGTCTACGCCGGGCCATTTTATAATTTAGAAGTGGCATCTAGTATATCATTATTTGTTATGAGCTCAAATTTATTTAAGTGGGAGTTATTTGGCAAAATTGTATTGTATGATAGATAGAAATTAGACGAATTACCTATTTACATTAGCATCGTTTTTTTAATTGCGTAACTAGATCAAATGCCATATTAATAAAATAGTCATTAAAATCGGTAAACGGAAAACTGGTACGGTCTTTAAAAACGCGGAATACTGGTACGATTCTCAATAGTCAAGGTTTCTCAAACTCTTATGAATAAAAAAGGAATAAAATATCAACGATTTATTTTAATTTTATTTTACCGACGATTGATGGGAAACCACGAGTGACTGCGATGTAATTATTATGATTGTATGTGTACAGAAAATACAGCTGTAGCAGTCGGAAATATTCGAAATTATCGCCATAGATATTTACCTGGATAACCAATAAATTCCGATTTCAATATACCTTATGCATGGAAAACTACAATGGGGGCTGAACCTCGAACATTCATGATATTTGACAGTAAACAACCTGATTCAAGCATTTTGATATTTGCTTCTGACTTTGCCATAAATATTCTAACAAAATCTGAATCATGGCTTGTGGATGGTACGTTCAAGTGTTCATCTAATATGTTTTAACAACTTTACGTGATACGAGGACAGTGTAAAAGTTAAATATCTACTTGTGTGTACGCGTTTTTATCAAATAAGTTCAAAAAATCGTTTACAACTGTTTTATTTACAACAAGTTATCATTAAATGCATTCAAATTTTTCGAGATCTAAAACCAAAATATGTAATTATGGATTTCAAAATCGTTGCTACGAGTGCAACAAATGACGTGTTCGGTGAAAAAAATACTTTGCAAGACAAACTATAGACAATGCATGTGAGAGCTTCTTAGATAAATAAATTTAAATAGGACAATGTTTAAATAATATAGCAAAGTTTACGAAATAATAATTATTAATCATCAATTATATTGTATTATGTTTATTGTACCTATATATTTATTTTACCTGCTGGCTACTTTGTATGTAGGTACCTATACCTACTTATTTGTGTTTTTTGTTCATTTTGATTGCTAATATTATTGCTTTGTTTTATCTATTATTTAAATCTAACTTGTTGACCATGATGATTTATCAAAATTATAATATAAGCATTATAAATATTTTAGGACCCCTGACAATTAAATTTTGAATAATATAAGTTTTTCGTGTTTTTTATTTCTTTTATTATAAATTGTATGGACCGTACCAATATTCCGAGCATCATTAAAATTATCGACTAAGATAAAAGTTGGTTTTCTATCATTAGGTTCAGTATTAATTTTGATACTATTTAGTAATTCATTAAGATTATTTGTTTTACTGTTTCTGAATATGATGTCATTGATTAAATGCCATTTAAGTTTAGCGATATTGCCGGATTTATGTATTTCTTTTTTATAGTATTTAATTTTAAATATCTTTTATTTCATGTTAATTTATTCCTGCTTTTAAGATAATAATCTTTTAATTTTAGATTCAACGGATATTTCCTAACTTTAAGGTGAAGGTGGATACTGGAGGTGGTCTCTATGACTCTATTTCTTATTGATTTGAATAATGCGGTGGTGGCCTATGGTTTTATTTTTTTGGTTTTCGAATTAGAAGATAGAAAGGAAGAGGCTTGTTTTTTAATTTTATTTTGGGGATTTTATTTCCGAACACCGGAAATTATATCCAATCATAATAACTCTTATTTTTTGTTACTTGTTTTAATATTACTGACAAAATTATTATTTATTCATCTTGAATTAAATCTCAAACCCCTTTTAGGATATCCATAGGCAATAGATTATGCAGTATACGGAACCTGCCTTATCAGAATAATTGATAAGTGGCAAATGAACCGAAATGTGAAAATTGTTGTCAGTTTTTAGTGTTTTAAATGTTTTTACTAGTTGTATATTTTAGTTAATAATGACTGCGTAGTAGTACGTACTCGCTAGTTATTATGTAGTTTTGTTTATTAAAGTATAAAATGTTAGTACTATGATCTAAGATTTTCTAAGGATTTTTGTTTATCAGTTGAAGTTGAATGCATTTTTTAATTTGTATTTATTTTAGTTAAACAGTATTAATACTAACAATACTAGTTTCATGATAATCATTTGATACGATCATTTTTTTTAAAATTCACATTTATTATGAATAAACTAGCTCCAAGCAAATGTACGGTATATGTTTCAAATCTACCATTCAATTTGACAAACAACGATTTACATAAAGTATTTGAAAAATATGGAAAAGTAGTTAAGTAGGTATATACGTTTCAAAAAGTATTTGTTCTGAAATTATGTCTTAGAAGTTAAAATATACAATAATATTTGATTATCCTTTATCACCCATGACATATAACTTTTTTAATTAATAAGTACATAATTAAATGTTTAGATATTTTGATACGTAATGTAGAGACGTTGTTAAGTGGTATTTATGAGGGAATTGTGAATAACGAAATTGACAACTTAAATTCACGAATTAAAACATTTTCAAAATATTGACTTCTTGTTTTTACAACCACATAATAAAGCAATTTTTAATTTTAAGTTGCTTCAATGCTCAATTGTGATTTATGTTTTTTTTGAGATGCCAATCAGAACTTAGAATAAAATCAATTATTTAAAAATGATATTTACTTAAAATGATTTTCAAACCTACATTTTTTATACCTACTAACAATTGTAATTGTTAAATTAAGACGATTTGGTTGTATTGATTATTCAATACTTTTATATTATTTTATCTAACCTTACCTAAACTTTTTTTTTTAAATTGTTATTAGCTTCAACCAAAAGTTAGTAATTTCGCCAATTAATTGAAAACTACCTTAACTTAATTATTTTATGAAGTGTTATTAAAACTTGTTACTATTAAAATAACAATAAAATAAATCAACAACTACCTATTTATTTTAACAAATAGTTATTAAACGGGATGTTTTTTAATCATGTTCACCCTCTCGCTCCCACCACAATTTTTCCCTTCAGAAGTACAATATTTCAAATTCTAATTTTTAGAATTTTTTTGTGTATCTAATTTTTAAAGTGTTCTGTGGTGATACAAATTCTATTTTTCAAAAGAAAACCCCTCCTCCTTCTTTTACTGCAGGGAGGACTTGTTTTTGAAGAACATAAGTTTGTTATGTTACAGTATCAACCTTAAATGGTGCAAAATATCTCAAGTATTTTAAAACATGGTCTTAAAAACCTAACTTATAGTATATTTAAAAATTATCCTATATATTAAACATGACAAATCAAAAAATAACAACGGTTATGTTAATACATAAAAAATAATATAATAATTTAAAAAAATATCTTTTTTTAACAATGCTCATCTTGTAATCGTTTTTGTCTTCAATTTTATTCAAAATATCTTTTTTTAGAGTTAAATAATTTTTAATGATTTAATGTTTTTGTTTGGAATAAACCACATGATGCGTTATTAAATTCTGTCATAGTTTTTTTGAAATAAGAAAAGCTCTTAGAACTATAATTATTGATCAGAAACTTCCATTCATGATTTATATGAAATTAAACTGAGTCATTAACTTTTGTATATAACACATTTATCAGTGGCGTACCCAAGGGGGAGGGGTAGTAGGGTGTGGACCCCCCCCATGAATTGACAGAATTTAAAATGTATAAGGTGTAAACCACTGATTGTATAATATTTTTACATGTTAAACAATTTTGGACCCCCCTCCCCTTTACTCTCCTGGGTACGTCCCTGACATTTATAATATAAAAATGTTTATTATTTTGTATTATATGAACTGTTGATATGGTGTATTAAAGTAATCACCTTAAAACTATCAGGGATAGATAAATATGTAACATACATTGAATAACTATATTTATAACATGAATAAATTAAAAAACAATAATATAAAAATATTAGCATACAAATTACATAAATAGTTAATAAATATGTATTAATTTTAAATCTAAATGTTGCACCATTTTAAATAAATCACTAAAATGTATGATTAATAAAATTGTATTACCTATATTAGAATTACAATAGTAAAAGATAAAACAACTCGGCAAAGCAAAGGAGTGGCATTTGTGTTATTCCTTAATCAAAATGATGCTAACGTTTGTGTTAAATCTACAAATGGCATACAAGTAATTATATAATATTATCACTTACATTTTTAAGCTATCTATACCTCTTAAATAACCACTTGTATAATTTGTGTCTTAGATGTTTGGAAGAACGTTAAAAAGTTCTATTGCAGTAGACAATGGCCGTAGTACAGAATTTATCAGGAAACGTCAGTATACTGACAAAAGTTTTTGCTACGAATGTGGCAAAGAAGGTCATCTTAGTTACAAATGTCCAGAAAATTGTTTGGGTGAACGACAGCCACCACCTAAAAAGAAAAAAAAGAAAAACTTAGACGGGAATGAAGGATGTAGCAAAGTAAGAAACATTTTTCATTCAGCAAATAATAAATTAGTAAACATTTCAAATGATTTATTTCTTGTTACAGAATCAAGAATCTTATCATAGCTCAGAAGAGGATACAGCATTTTATGACAGAACCAAAAATTATACAGAAAGAAATAGTGATGAAGAAAAATGTGATATATCTCATATGGAGACATTAAGTGCAGTAATACATGAAGAAGTAAGCAATATTAATTAATAATTTATCACTATTAAGAGGACGTCACATCCGCATGTGCTGTCTCCGTCTTACAAATGTACAACATAGCAAAAACTGTTTAGCGCGGGAAAACTTTTCTCACACCATATTTGTTGTAGAATTATCAAATTTTCACAACACGTAAAGAAGAACTTTATCTGTGCAACAGCGTGCCTTTTTTTTAATTACACTTTCAAATCAATTTTTATAAGTAAATGAAAAAAACAAAAAAACAAAAGGTTAAGAAGCAAATAACTTTTATTGTATTTATGTCATCTAAAATATAGGCACGCTGTTGCATAGATAATTTTCTACTCGATATGTTCAGAAATTTTGGAGCTACTACTACTAACACAGAAAGATAAAAGTTGTCCAGCGCAAAACAGTTTTTGCTATGTTGTTCCTTTGTAAGACGGAGACAACACATGCGGGTGTGGCGTCCTCTTAATACAAATTATTATGCAGTTTGGTATCTTTTTTTTGTTTCAGCAAGAGAATAATATTGACCAGTCAAGCAAAGTTGAGGTATTGCATAAAAAAGTATACCGTAAAAATTCATACTTCAGCGATGAAGAGGAACTTATTGAATAATAAAGTTAATTAATGTTTTTATACTGTATTTTGTTAAGATATTACAATTAATAAATATACATACCTGCTTACAGTAGGATATGATATAAATTTATGCATCGATAGTTATTTCATACATTATTTTCAGATATTTGTTTGTTAGGTTCATCAAATTGATACTGTGATTTTTGTGTAAACTTGGGTTTATCAATCGGAAATACTTCATAATGTATTGAAGAACTGTATTGGCTATGTGTTAATGATTTAAATTCAAATTTTTTCAGTTCTTTTACTAAAAATTCTGTAAGAATACAAATATTAATATAATTAATTTGACAAATAAATTAAGCCTGGTTCTTACTGTTTGATTTGCCAAATTCAAGCTTTTGAATTTTCCGAACAATAACATCATAACGGCCTTTACATTTACTTATGTGACTACGAAATTCTTCATCTAATTTTCCTAGACGATAAAGTATGGAGTAACTATTTTCAACAATTTCTTCCATGAGTCTTAAAAGATCAATGTCGTAAGATTCTCTTTCTAAATAATAAACATATTGTAATCAATAAAATGATTTATTTTGAAAAAAATTTTCCTTAACAAATTATAACCAAATTCACCTTTATCATAAATGTTGAAGACAATATACAAACATTGTATAGTGAATTCTATAAAAGATGCAGTGCAATCACATGTTTTATTTGGTACTTTGTGCAGCCATCTGGGTACATGTGTACTATTTAAAAGGATATTTACAAAATATAAATAGTTTGTAATAAGATGATTGCTGTGTTTGAGGAGTTCTAGCTGAAGACAAAGGACACGTAGAACACATGTTCCTAAATTAATAATGATAGAATTACTTATAAAACAAGTTATAAAATAATTTACAGTTTTACCTGTTGTAAATGTACTAACTCTGTCAGATAGAATAAATGTATTACGATCTAAAAAATATATATATAGTATAAATAATAAATGTGGAATTGTTTAACAATGAGAAATTTAGAATTAAAATTTTTTCTTTAAATAAATCATCAGTCGCATGGTTTATTTTAGTTAAAGGTCATTAACTACAAGGCTTCATCGAAAATATATTTTTGAATATAAATATCGTTTTGTTTTGTGGGATATTGAATCATGTCAAAAAAAATGTGGGTATCCATATTCTGACTTATAGACATTTCTATGATTAGTGAACAAATTGCTTTTAAAATATATTGTACAAGATCTGGGCATTAAAATCTGTCGATTACCTACTTGAATAACCAATGGCCATTAATTGAAAATCAAAAATTAATTATCAAAATATTGTGGGATATATTAAAATTTTTTTTTTTTATTGAACTTAAGCCCGGCGACTAAGACCATTAGCTGTTGTAGGGGTAAGGTTGGTACGGCAGGTTGTTTTTACGATTGTTACAGTAGGTAGCAAACACGTATAATATACACATATTATGTGTGGCAAAGTTTTTAACTACTATGAACCTGGGTGGTCACCCATACGGGAGCTAGTAGCTGTGGCTGTTACTCCCAGTTGCATTCCGCGACTGATAGCAACCAACGCGCCACGCCAAGCCACATATTAAAATTATCAATATTTAAATTTCAAAAATTTTTTTGTGATTTTGTTTAAGAAGCCTATGTAATATATACTTGTTAATTTTTTTAAAGCCAACATCCAATTTGTATGAAACATAATTTACCATTTTTAATAAAACTAGGTCAGACATAATATTATCTACATACAATATTAATTTTTAACATTTTAATCTCCAGAACTACTTTTAAATAATAATTTAAGTTTGCATTTTAAAAAATAGGCGTGACTGATAAGATAGTTAATACCTGTATTTGTGTAGCGTTAAAGCATTAGTTAGTTTCATAACAGTCTAAAGAAATACATGTAAGAAAAAAAGGAATTCAGACATAAAAAGAATTTTTGGAAAAATTGTCTATAGTTCTAAATTAATTTTATACATAATTAAGCTTAAAAACTTCTTCAACTTACTAGATAATTGACATAGATTGTCTGTTATTTCTGTGTACATAGAAATTTTACTTAACAAATTGATTAGTTCTTGTACAATGTCAATGCATGGACGGCAGAATACTATTTCTTTAATTATATCATAAATGTCTAATTGCCTAAATTGATCATAACATGAAAAATAAATAAAATCATGTTTCAAAAATTTAACTACTCACTTTTGTTTTGTTATATCCCAATTACAGCTACATAAATTCGTAAGAAACTTTATCAGTGCGATAATTACTGAAACATACTCCAAGGAACGACTCTATAACAATAATTTTATAAAATAATTAAATAGTTAAAAACAAAATTACTCAAAATAAGTAAATATTACTTGTGCACCAATTATTTGTAAAAAGTGTACAAATGTTTGAAATACATGATTTGAAGGATTCATAACAATTTTTGGAACAACATTAGAAATAGTAGTTAATACTGATATGCAATCCAATAAGTGAGAGAATTGTAGATCAAACCTAAAAAAACAATTGATAAAAAAATCAAGTTGAATGGAGTATAAATATAACTTTATCTTACATAGAAAACCTATTTTTTAAACATTGTTTATTTAAATTTAAGTAACTATAAATTAATTGTTTTTCCCTTTTAACAAAATCTTCATCATCTATTGTCTCTTGAAGTATTTCAATTGTAGATTCTAAAATATGTTTACAGTTTTCAAATAACTGAAAAAATGTAGAAAAATTAAAACAAGTTTATATTTTTTAAATTTAATTATAATTTTTTACATTTACCAATTCAATTAATGAGTAAGATTGAATTTCATCAAAAGTTTCTAACACCATCAATTTGGCTAAAATTAAATGACAATCTTGTATTGTACTCAAATTTTTAACATCTAATAAATGAAAAAATAAAAATATGTATTAAAGAAACTTATTTCATACCTAAATAAAAATATATATTTTTTACCATTTTGATTATTTTGAATACTAAATAAGTCAGGATACAAACATTTTTTCAGCTTTTCATAACTTTTATTTATTTCTGGATAATTATCCCTTATTAATAGATAATGTTCATTGTTTGTGGTTTGAAATGTTTGAGTTGATACATTTTTTTTTGTATTATGTTCTGAAGCATTGTGTCTAAATATTTTTAGAATTAGTAATAATTAGATATGGTTAATTTTTTTTTCTTACAATAAAGTTGAGTTACTTCCAGTTTTCATGCAGCTAAATGATACATTTTTCTGAGGAATAATTTTGTTGATAATCTTCATTTCTTTTACCTTATTTTTGAGGGCAGTCATTTCTTGTTGCTATAAAAAATAATACAGAAATTTAATCTACATTAAGTATCCAAGTACAATATGTTAGTAAATAGCTAACTTGGAATTTAAGCTCTGTATCTTTACAGTCGATAATATTTTTCAGTGTTTTAAATTTATCATCTTTTTCTTGTTTCGTGTTGTATAGTTGAATTTCTAACTGCTTAATCCTATTTTTTAAATTTTTGATTTCTCCTTCTCTAATTTGACTGTCCCTTTGATTACCAGGGTTATTTAAATTAACTGGAACATAAAGGGGGACATAGGTTAAACTCTAACATATTATTTACAATAAAAGTATTAAATTGTAAAATGAACACATTTAAAATATGATATTATACATTATGATGTATAAATTTAATGAATAGTCAAATATTTTTTTGGATATTCAACCAAAATGCATTCGCCATATAACATCAATATTAGTTTTGAAGAAAATGGCAATTTCAACAATTAACTTAAACACAAAATTATTATTAGTTTACATATTAAGACTATCAAACTATTTGGTACTGAGTAACTCACCGGGAAAATGTGATTGTGATGCCAAAGACTCAATGTTAACAATTGAGTTCACTTCATCGTAAGTAAAATCGTCACCCCAAATGTCTTCTTGACCATTAGTAGGTGGTTCCGTTCTTGGTCTTTTACTCATTATTATTATTTTTGCCTAATCCACTAATCATTATTAAAAACAAACAGATTTATGATATTATATTTTAAAAAAATCATTTATACATACGCAGATCTTAAAATCATAATATATTAATATAAGAACTTTCCAAACGAATTATTTTCTTTTAAAATTCAAATTGATATCAGCAATCAGTATCATAAACATGTTTACAGCTTCAGCCGCCGACCGCGCTAGTGTCCTGTAAAGTTGCTCTGTGTTTGTAGCATTGCAATTTGTAGGCCGCTGCTGCGCTGCAGGCTAAAATATATCTAAATATATTCTATTATCAATACCTAAGATCACAATATACCGTTTACCCTGTATCTACCAGATTCTTTATCATACTTAATGGTGGTAACCTAGAATTTATTTTTCTAATATTAATTAACAATTAATGTCTTTAAATATTAATTATAGACTTTTAAATACTGTACAAAAAATAAGACGATTTTTTTTCATTAATTTAAACATTTTTAAATCGGTAAATGGCAAAAATAATTCAATCGATTGTAATTCGTTTGTTTATAACATCCATGAACCATATGATTATTAAGTAGTCTTTGGGAAATTCATTATAACAAAATGCAAATGGCTGGCGCACCAGACGTAATGGTTTATTAGGGAATGTTTATTGTTTCCGGGCGTATATTCACTATTCGTAAGTGCGATTTTGGTAGGTGCCGTATCGTTCGTCAACATTTTATACATTCGTTCGCCGTGATCGTTCGAACATAGTACGACGTGGAGTGCGCGAGTTTTGATGTGAAAATGTGTTGACACACTTAAGAACTACCGTGGTCGTGTCGACTGCGTATCATGACAAAGGATTCTATCGGTATCCTGTGTGCCGCCGACACCTGTGAACCCGGCCGTCTTGTAATGTCCAGGGTATTATCGTAAGTTGACATGTTACATTTAAGTACACGGCCGAGTTAGTGTTTTTTGAAAAATAAAAACTAAAGCGACAATATAATAATAATGAAAGGAGTCTGTATCTGATATCACGCAAATGCGACCAGTCATGCCACAGGTATTGCTTGCGGCAATGCTTTGGCTCCTGGTGTCTGACAGCAATGCGCAAATGTTCGACCATGACATGGGTGTATTAGATAGACGGGTGCTGACCGATGGTGTAGACTATGAGCTGTTCAATAAAACACTAGCGTCCAAGCCAGGGTCCGGCTCTCGGGCTTCACGAACAAATTCGTCGCAACAACAGCAACATGTGACAAGTCCGACTAATCGCCTTATACCAGCATACAATCCTCCAGATCGAAACACTTTTACTCCACCTCTACCCCCAGAGCGGTTCAACCCATTTGCTGATAAACCGACACTTAGGGGTAGTAATTCGGAAAAGCCATTGCAAACTAGACGGCCAGGAATTGTGCAGACAAAGTTTGAAAAAGAATTTATACCTATTAGGCCTGTAGATGTTCCAGTAGCCGATACTAAAAAGAAGACAATTAACACACCTAGTTTGAATAAGTTAAGAGTGCCAGAATCTACTTATTCAGAACCAACTAGTACCACAGCAGTTAATGGTTTCAAAGGCCTTAATGATACTTATAGTATTGTAGTACAGCAAGTACAAAACTTATCAAGCCCAAATGTCTTTAGAATATTGTTTGATGATACAGGTAAAAAAATGGATGGATTATTAGGTAATGATAAGCCAAACTTTGACCAGGATCTTAAACCATCTCGAACTGTTAAACAAGAAGTTCCCAAGCCCACACAACGAACTGTACAACCAATTGAAACCACATCTTCATCTCAAGTTTATGAAACTACATCTGAAGAAACAACTGAAAATGAACCATCAATATTTAAAGAGCAACAAGTAACGGAGTCTAAAAGCGATGTTGATATACCTGAATCACATCCAGAAATTGTTTCTATGCCAGATCATCCTGAACCAAGAGCCAGGTATATTCTTGGAGTTTTTTGGGATGTTCATGTTTATTTAATTGCTATACTTTTCCTGATATTAGTATTTTGTTCAATGGTTAGTATAGCAAGGATAAGAGCATTTAAGAAATTATTAACATGTGGTTACTTTGTCACTATACATGGTTTATTAATAATCATAGGCTGTGTAAGGAGTGCTTATTTGTTATATGATCCATATAATGTAAACGGAACATTGTCTATTCAAGTGTCTGGGTTGGCTCTGAACATTGTATTCCCACTCTTGTTGACCGTATATTCAGTTTTATTTTTGTTTCTGTTGCGAGCCACCGATGTAAAAACAATTTTTTATAGTTTACAAAAATCGTCATTATTAGCAATATTTATTTGTTGCTATATGGCATTCTGTATTATTGTATTGTTTTATTCAGAAGCTCATATACTTTCATTAGTTTCCAAATGTATCTACATTCTATTATGTGTAATACTTGGGGTGACTTATGTATGTCTATATAGGTCTATGACTAATGCTTCCTTAAGGAAACAAGGAACTATATTTGGAGCTAGCTTCCATGAACATCGCCCTACTTTGGCTCATTCTGTACGAGTGACATTGGCCACTAGTATGCTGAGTCTTCTTATGGCATCAGTTCAATTATATGGTATGGTTGGTGTTTATGAAATGCTGGGTAAAGATCAGCCAAACCCATGGTTATGGTGGGGTTATCAGTTCTCTGTACGTGTGATTGAGATATCATCATGTTTTTTGATATTTTGGGCATCCATACAGCCACTGAGGTATACTAGCGAAAAAGAAGCTCAAAATCAATCCGGCTTAACATTATTCCCATGTCGTGGTACTGTTTCCCGGAGTGATCCACCATCAGATGACATTTATCCAGCCATCTGCAGTGCCAATCAAGCTGTACATAATTACACATTACGTACAGGTAAACACATATATGATGACACATACTCAATGGGTGGTCCGCCGTTGGCTAACCATCAGTTATTTGCGCACACTACTGAAAGGAGATCATTAAAACGAATGGATGATGACTCTAGAAGTATGTATGCGTATGCAGAGAGAGCAGCCATACAGCCTTCACCGTCCATGTTAGTCGCTGAAAATGGATTTGTTAGGTTTAGATCACTAGCTGATGAACGTAACTCAGAAGATCAGATGTATCCGATCAAAATTCATCATCACAGGGATAACTGTTGTACTTAATAAATAGACCCTAAATAAGTTGACTATTCTTTTTTATTTTTTTATTTTTGTACATAGAATATTTATGTAATTTTTTTCTGTTTAAATTTAATGTGTTCCTTTAGCTTAAACAACATTCCATTATATAACATTTTCGTTTCTTATTACCTATTATTTTTTTTTTTTTCAAAGACTGCTTTATTTCTTAGGGGCCAAGTATAGTATCAGTATGCCAATTTATGTATTTAAAATATAAAGGGGTAAAAACTCTTAATATTGGTTTTACATGACGTACTTATTATTGAACAAACCATACAAACTGGCCTATACTTAACACGTTTATTTAATCCTTAAAAAAAAATAGTTTAGCTTCTTTATTTTTTTACTAACATGTCTGTGCCATTTTTTTTTATAGGTACTTTCAAAATGTCTACCTAGTAACAATTTTATAAAATTCAGTTTTTGAAATCCATTTATTATTGTTAAAACAATGATATCATCCGTCCCGGTTTAAATATTTTTCCATAAATCCATGTGTATTGGTACTCATGTTATAAATTTCTGATAAATTAAAAAAAGACCCAGAATAATTACTAATATTAATTATTCTGTGTATTTAGTAATATTTTATTCAGTTTGGACTCCCAACATTTTCAACACTGAATGTAATAATATCATAGTAAATACCGCTTGATGTGATAACTAACTTATAGTTTATACTTTTAAGATATTTATTTAAAAAAAAAAGGTAGTTATATAATAGGAATTTTAATTTTTATAAATCCAGATTCCACTTTATATATGTATTATTGAATTTTTCTTTTTATAGTATTAATCCATTATTGTTTGTGATAATATGATCATATTAGCGGTACACACTATTATATAAAACTTAACAAATTATAATGTTGAATTTTGTTTCAGATGTTTAATTAACTTGAGTATCAACTATTATTAGGATTTTATGACTTATTTAGTAGAATTGCTTCTTGCCCTAGTTTAAATTTGCATTTAAATGTGTTCCTTTGAGTTAAAAAAAAAAAATAATAATAAAGAATTTCCCTGGTCTTACAGACAAAACTAAATCTCATTAATAGATTAATTTTAATAGGAATGTTTACTAAAAATATATATATTATAGTCGACCTTTATCATGTTGTTATTTACTTATTGTGATCATCCAATTTAGTGTACTTATATATAGTATTTTTAAATATATATAAGTATATATTGTATTTGTATTTTGTAAATACTTTTTTTTATATTCTGTCCTAAGTAGAGTTTTAAATATTGATGAAGAGGAGATGAAAAAATATATAAATGTATATGTATTTTTTAGTATTTTTGTTCATTATCTATCTTCTGTCCTTGTCCTTATTTACCTAATGTAATCTATAGGTAATAACACGAAGGTGAAAAACAAATCATTATTTAAACAGCGAAAAGTAAAAGTGGGACATTGGAAGTTGCTTGTAAAATTATAAACGATCCATTGTGCGTGGGAGGTAATAGAAAGTACAAGGCACAAAGCGCGCGAGTGTAGTAAATGCTTATAGTACAAACTCCAAGTGTCCAAGCGCGCGTGCCTGAGGGTTAAGATACTAATAGCAAAAAATGAACCGCTGCATCTTTCGCTGTACTTTTATTGCCAAATAGTAGTGCGAGGGCGTGTAGTCCACCTTTGGGCTTTGACGAATATACTGAATAACTCGCCACTGTACCAAACCTGACAACCGGTTTTACACAATCCTTCAAGTTTACAAATCTTCATCAACATCTATGGACAACTTTTTAATTTATTTCCTAATCGTCGATAAATATTATTATGTACGTGTACTATAAAATATTGAGAACTCTAATAAAGAATAAAAAAAAAAAGATACCTAGCTAGCTTAGGTAAATGCAATATATTTTCTTCAAGATGAAGAGACCTATTTTATTTTGACTTGTCCTACAGTTTATGAAAGATAATGTATACATGTATATTGGTTACTGTTTTATGTAACTTATTAGTAATCATACATTTAACGGATTGAAATTGTAAAATATTTTATTTTTGTTTTAAATAATGTAGAACGTAACTAGTTGTATATACCTATCGTCATTATTTACCTATACATTGATCAATGCGTACTGAATATTATAGAGCATACGCATCAGTAAATGAAAATTGAGATGATCAAATTGTAATAGGTATAGGTGCCTGTATAATTTATTTTAATGTGTCATAGGCAACTTTTATGTATTACCTAATTGTATGATTGGAAAATTCTATATGCATATTAATATAATTTGAGTACATGCGTATGACATTAATATGACCATCTGCGTGTGCCGAAAAGTAATCGGAAAGTTACCCAGCTTATAATATTAGATTTCTCCAGAATTAGAATTATTTTGTACACCGTTGAATTTGAAAATCAAGAATTAAATGAATTCAAGCCAGAATACACTACCTACTTAAAAAAACGGGTTGAATCTCATGATTGAGGTAAGTGAAATGTATTTTTAGACAATAGACAATGTTTAAGCAAAAAATAAATTCTTATCCTTAGTACCTAATTTAAACAGTCGTGTAAATTGTAAATATGTTGTATACTTTTGAAAACATTTTGCATTTCAAAGGATCTTACTGTCCGTTGCTTATGTCCTTATGGTCCATGTATAGTATATAATATATTATATAATAATACACGCATTATCATAGACCTAACTTTTTCTTAATAAAGTTAACATTTAAAATTTAAATATGTAGGTACTTAGTGAACAATATTGCACAACCTTTTTTCTTTTAAATACTATAAATTATATTTATCGTAAATATCATCTACATAGGTATTGTTCAATTGAGTATTATGCGATAAACAATAATATGTAATTATAGATTACAGTTTCTATTTGTTCCTAAAAAAATCGGGCTTGTCGGACGAAAAATAAAAAAATTGACAGGTATAAAATTGATTCATAGAATTTTATAAATCATTTTAAAATAATAACAAATCATTCCAATTTCCAATGTGCAATAATATATAATAATTAAACATGCTATAAACTAATAATAGGAACTACCTAGCCATATGAGTTACCTAGTGTGAAATGTTCTTGTGTGAGTGTATAACTGAAATAATTACTTTAATATCATTAACCAATCGCCGCCTTGGTATAATGACATACTGTTTTCGCAGCTTCCCGAGTGTGGCTCAGTTTTTACGACCGGCTATTAGACAGTATTTGTCTTAGGCAAGGAGTAACATTATGTAATATGTATTAAAATAATTGATTATAATTCATAGCCCATAGGTATATTTTAATATAGACTATTTTTACTTTTTTTTTTATCATTTTATCAATAATATTTAAATATCAACTATAATCGTCCGATAGGAATCAGATCGTCCGTGCGTTTGGACAATACCGTATTATATAGCCAGCACATTCCATTTATTCTAAGCATATTTTAGTATATACGTAGATGTGGTGCCTGCCTAGGTAGCCAGGTAGGCACATGATTTAGATAAAATAATTTTTTAAATTATAATATTATTCATTCACACGACTACCGGCTACTACAAATACTATAGCCGGTACCTAATCGGCCGCGGCAGTGGTTACGGTCGTGGCGATAAAATCGCTCCACGCCGCGCACATTATTATTGGCATCCGTCGTCTTCGTGCGTCCGCCGGACAAAGAGACACACACCGACGTGCCGCATCCCGTAGTTGTCGTCGGTCGTCCAACGACTCCGACGGCATACACGTCTTGTCTTTGTAATACACGCGTATTATACGTAGGTACTTTGTTATTTCGTGTGTCCATCGCACCGTGAAAGTGGGCGGGGTTGGAAAACTCGTGTTGCCCAGGGCGCCTCAAAATGTTTTTCTCGGACGTAGGTAGGTATACATCAGCTTACTGCCTCAGTCAATACTTTGCTTGTACCTAAACCGTGTATACTGGTTTGTGTTTTCGCATATACGCGTATACCGTACCCATAGAATATATTCGATGACGTCAAAACGCCGAGTAAAATTCAAACATTTGCAATCGGCTAGGTATATATAATATAGGCAGTGGTGAGTGATCGTAGGATTGCAGCGTACATTTAAGTGTTTGCATTACCTGCAGGTAATTGTTATTATATTATATAGATGCATGGTGCAGCGTCACAGTGACCTGTAGCCCTGCAGGTGAAGATTTTCAAAGGGGCCTTCAATTATTTGTAAATACATCGATATGAAAAAAAAAATACCACTACCATGACCAATGTTATAACACTTAAATGTTATAGCCATTGTACATGGTACTAACACGGCAATATCCGTTTGGACCCCCTTCCCTCTTACTGAAATTCTTTTAGGAAATATACTTTCACAGAGAAAATATAAAAATTGTGTATAATACTATAAAGTATATAGGTGTCTATGGTCTACCCAAAAATTAAAATCGATTTTTTACATTTAAAAATGGTGTTATTGGTGTATTTCTAACTGTAGCAGTCCGCAAGAAAACAAACTAGGTAAATACCTATGACTATATAGTATTATGGTATGATCTAATTATAAATGATTACTAAAATTCTATAATATGTATACACGTTCAAATACTAGGGACAGAAAGTGATAGCCTAGGATGCTAAATAAAATAATAGCATTTTTGGTAAATTTTAGTCGTTGCCTGGTAAATAATTGAAAATAAAATTAATTAAGTAATTATATAATAATACAATTACGAAATTTATTTTTAAAATTTTAAGAAATTAGTGGATGAAATACTTAATGTTTATATTATATTAATTTATAAGTGCCAGGTCCCTATGTCCTTTAAACAATTTTCTTAAAACTTCAAGAGATACTGGTTATTATTTATTACAGTTTTAAGTCTTAATGAAATATGTTTGCTTGGTAATATATTACATCATACCATTGATTAAATAGGATAAATAGGTATACTTTAATATTATGGGGTACTTTATTATATTATTGTAAATAATTATCCTCGACGTATTTTATAAACATACCTAATATAATACTTTGTATTTTGCCGTAGGGTGTGCTCTGTGGCATTCGGCAGTAGTAAGTTATCAGTAGACAGTAGTTTGCAGAATTTGGAAAAGTATAAAAACGTATTAATGTGTTCGATATTATACGTCCACAGCGACACTCGAATAAGTTTTTAAACTTTCGTAATGTGCAGTGATCATTAAAAGTAAGTTTACCGAAATATATTTGGTCGATTTCCAAAAAAATCTCGGTTTTTAATTAATTTGTCATAACAAGTATAAAATAAATTACAAATTACTTACCTATTATTTAGTAAATTGAAATGTAGCCAATAATAATATATTATTGACTCACGCACCAGCTATAGAATTTATATAGTATAATTTACATGGTTGTTGCATATATTACTTTATTGTGATTATACCTACTTATAATAACCGATTCAAATATTACTTAACCATACGTAAGTAGCTATAATATTGTGTAAGTCAAACCGTAAAGTATATAGTCGGTCGATGTTAAAAATTTAAAAATGCGTTGGTATAATGGTATGCCAGATGCCCAGATGTCTACCATCATAGTTTGTTATTGAAATGCATTCTATACATTTTGAGTATTTCTACCCTTAAATCTGTCAACTGTCAAGTGTCAACATATGGATTAGTTAATGCCATCCGGTTTGTTCTTATTCGGCTGAACCGCTTTTTTTTTGTTGACATTATTACGATTTCCGAAGGTTAAAGTAAAATAATTTGTCTTATAAGTTCTATAACCAACAGAGTGATACTCATTGGTATTTATTATTTTCTATTAAAACTTTGTGTCTATTTTAGTATGTCAATGGCTTAGGTATTTAATAATTATTATCGCCAACGCAAACAATTAATATAATTTATAAATGATTTTTGATAAAATGTATAAAACCAAAAAAATCTAAAATATTTTTGTTACTAGTTGAGATATTACTAGACTTTGGTCTGAAAAAATGGACAAAATGTTAAAAAACACGGGCTTTTAAAATGGTTAAGTCAGTGAGTAGGTAGGATAAAATGGGCTGGTTCTGGACCCTCGAAAACCTCCCACTCCACCATTTTAAGCTCCACGAATCACGGTAGCAGCAGTACTCTAATGTTATTATTAGGACCCAATAATGAACGAATAGAATAATTTCAGAATGACATTTATAAAGTATTGGTAGGTATATATTTCTTTGCCGTTGTACATTTTTTTCAACTGATTACGATTCTGAACGGAGCGATGAATAGGTATTGATTTTACTACGTCCTATTGCGTTTATGTGTTTAATGTTTATGTATACACGATTTATATTTTATAGACTATAATATAAATTATAATGTAAAAAATGATTTGATCTTCGACTTTGAGGTGGTTTCTGAAAAAAAATTTGATTTAGTTGGTGTTTTTGGGAGTATCAACACTGAAAATTCCCTGTAGGTCTATATTTCTATAAGTTCCCTACTTTTCAAAATAATCGGGAAAAATAATTATAACTAAAGAAAAACAGGGATTTTTATATCAAACCAGTTTTTTACAATATCGATTTATTTATTTTATTGTAGTTTAAAAACGAAAAACCATACAATATAAATACTTAAAAATTTTAACAAATGTGTATAATATAATTTTCTACAGGTGAATGGTATAATTTTCAAAAGATTTCAAATCTTTTTGAGCTACTCATATCATTTGACATTTTAAATTGTTTGTTTTCTTTTTGTTGAAATTCAAAAATGTAACTCACGAAGCCTTAGAAATTGTAAGCATATTATTATATTTAACATACAAAATAACATTTTTAAACACTTCGATTAATTTTTATTTTAGCCTATTGGCTATTTTATACCACAAACCTGTTCAAATTTAATACCGTTATATGGTAAAGTGGTATTGCAGACTCAATCAATAACTATAATTAGTTATATATAAATAGTATATACTATTATAATAAATAGATATTAATAGCTAATATAATAAATGCAAAAATAAAAACATAAATATATATTATAAAATGTACTTAGTAATATAGGCTAACTGCCTTCTCTCGGAACCATTTTTCGTACTAAGTATCATCTGAGAGGGAGGCAAGGTTGACAATGGATATCCTGTCTAATTGGAAAAGCTACCCAATTGTTGGTCTGGTAGTCGAAGAAAAAACTAAACTATAATATAATTTTTCGAATTTTGAGGTTAGGCACTAGTAAATTATGATCACGATAATAATTAATATTAATACTATAATAGATTTTTGGTTCAAATATATAGACGTTGATACTATAAATATTATAAAAATAAATCTATCATTCTTAAATGTATTCATAATTTCAAATAAATCTCAATAGCTATTTAAACATTTTCGATTTTGAATCACGATTTATAATTTAATTTGTTCGACCCTTCTAGAAAAATATAAAATGGCGTCACTGAGGTAGGTTCCATGATTATTTAGGTTCTTCGCATCTCTCTTGCTATTAAATGAGCCTATTTTTGCCACTGACATGTATAAAGTTATGCAAGAGCAATATGGTTATTGAGTAATGATAAAAATGCAAGTGGAAATTAGCATGCGAGCGAAGCGACCTGTTTTTTTGGTTCAGTCATATTTTACATGAGGTGGTTAAAACGTTTGTCCCCTCCTATTAAAAACTGAAATGACCTCACTGTATTTAGTACTCAATGATTTATCGTTGAATTTAAATTTAACACTTACCTACATCACACATGTACCGACTGTGACTTAATCAATGGTGAGGTACAACTTGTAGGTACAGCAGAACGGTTTCCTATTTTCCCTCTTTTTTTTGTGTAACCAACGGAAAAAAATTCGATTTTTGCATTTTAAAGACGAAATTCATGTGTTAGCTACCCTTTTTATAGAAATTAATTTCAGAAATGTAGTCTATAACCATCTTGAGAATGATGAATATGCAAATCATATAAGTATATAATATATGTATATTGTACGAGTGGATAGTATATGAATAAAACATGTCACATTGCCTGCTTTATAAATAGCGGCCGACTTCAATATCGTTGTATGAATACTATGATGATTTTTTAGTAGTTGTAATATACCTATGAGTCTATGACAATTATGCATAGCTCTTAGTGGATCTATGTATAATATATATGTATTTTCATCGATATCGATTTTTGCTGTGGTTATTTTTTCATGAATACAATCGCTATCAGTGTCATCATCAAAATATTTTTGTCAACAAATTCAAAAACAAAGTTAAATAATATGTATATTATTACTTAGTATTTTAGTCTGGAGGAGAGAAAGCTTAACAGTGGTGACATCATTGAGTAGTCTCATCCTATATTTCAATAGGTTATAATCGTATCTCAAAAACACACATTGGTTTAATATATATTTTTTTCTTTAAAATATTTTATTTGTATTTATGACTTATGTAGTATTAAATTAAATAATGGTTTAAAATAATAAGTTATAAAAAATCGATTTTATAATTCTAGGTAGGTATGCATCACACATATAATATGTTATAATAAAATTTGTATCATTTAATTAATTAATAAAAGTTTTTTATTATAGTGAAAATCGTTCACCTTATTATTTATTCTTAATGAAACAGAATTACATACATACGTATAATACTAAAACATAATATATTGAATGTATTAAAAACACACAGATAAGAATTAATACGAAATAATTGGAAACGACACAAAAAAAGAAACAGGACAAAAAGCGTCTTGTAAAGGTACGGTTTCCCTGCAACGTCAGACGCGAGAACAGCATGGCTGCGTCGGACGCGGCGTCTAGACGCTACCTACGTCCAGACCGGTATTGACGCTTGACGCTGCGTCTAGACGCTGCAGGGAAACCGTACCTTAAAGGTACGGTTTCCCTGCAACGTCAGACGCGAGAACAGCATGGCTGCGTCGGACGCGGCGTCTAGACGCTACCTACGTCCAGACCGGTAGTGACGCTTGACGCTGCGTCTAGACGCTGCAGGGAAACCGTACCTTAAGAGATTCATCAGGACAGCAAGACATAAAGCTAAAATAAAAGACAATCCTGTAAAAAATAGGACGTATGGTCATTCTAGAATAGATGGTATTGCAAGTTGATTGTTGTGGGTTGTTGCGCCTGCTATAATACTGGATAGACTTCTTAAAATACATTTTACCAATTTCTACTGCCTACTCGCAACTTTTTATTTAAGTAGGTAAGAGTAATGACTAATGACGTAAGCAAGTAAATAATAATAGATTGGTAATATTAAAATTGAAAATACACTTATGATATTATACTTACGGACATTTTACTATGTTTAGTTTTTTCACGATTTCTCGGATTTCTCTGTACCTGTCTATAAAAATACCTATTAACACATTTATACGTCATTACTCATTTGTCACGTGCGTTTAATTTATGATTTAAAATATTATTTTATTCAGATGTAATAATATAATTCAATAGGCGAGTGATGAATCAAGACTTACTGACTAATATGATTTATGGACTCGTGGACGAGTAATTTACGTTCGATATTTATTCAATTGGCAATGCCGTCGTATATTTTTTTATACTTCCAATAATCCTTGTGATCTGCTGATAAATCGATACCGTACTTGGCTTTCTTGTCGATCGATATTGCACCGCAGGCGCCCGAGCGTTTCGATTTGATCGCCGACATTTTTTCAGTTCCGAGCATTCGACCCGAAGTTGCATTAAACCCGGCGGAATATGGCGTCAACTTTATCAGCGAATGTTTCCTCTTCGTTTCGTCCTTACAGCTAGATGGCGCGCTCGGAATAGTCAAGGAACCCGTACGTTGTTGTCCCGAGCGTTTCGATTTCGAATAATCCGCAATAATTAACGGTTCGGTTTCCTGAGGTGATGCCGAGTCTTCGACTCTACCCATTACGTTGCTAGTTAATTTCCGAATAATCGATTCTATGTACTCAAGATCAGTTGTAACGGGCATGTGGAGTGGTTTGGGTTTACCGTATGCGGATATATACATAGCTTTGAGAACAATTTTGCCGATAAGTGCGTGTAAAAATTTGTCTAATTTCGTTTCAACAGAACGGGTACAGCCCGGCAATACATCACACGAAGTTATACGAATTTGTCCGTCGGAGATTTCGCGTGCCTTGGACAATTTCTCAATTGTTTTTAAGGTCTTCTCGCCGTCGACAGCATGTCTGTATACCGTTAAATTTTGGTTATTTATTACTAGTGATTTCGACCTTACCGAATGTTTTTATTTTAGTTACCCAAACGCCACATATTTATCGTTCATCCAAGGATTTGGTTGAAAACTAATAATAAATTCTGGACCGTTGAAATATGTTCGTCTACTAGCTAAAGACAGCACACCTCTTCTATCGTGACTTACTGAAAAGTTTTCTTTTTTTAAATACGCCATTTTATTTAAGATTCCTGTGAATGAAATATATAAGATTAAAACATCTTACGCGGAGCATCTGATAATATACAATATAGTTTACTTACGTCCGGCTTGAATAAAACCGTTATTTATATCAATCCGGTGCACAAAACTGTTCAAGTATCCTTCAGTTTTATTTATACATAACCGTTTGAAATACTTACAAGTTTTTGGAACTTGTTTATCAAACAGCTAAAAATTAATTTTTTCAGATTAGTATATAAGATAATATTATTTCATTGAAAAATTCAATGAAATAATAATATAATAAACTAACTTCGAAGACAACGTGGCCAAGCTCCCAATTGTTAACTTCAAAAACCATACGTACGAATGTCGACTAAAACATTAGCATTATATAGATGTATGATATATTTAAGAAGGGCTATAAAATATGTAAAAATATGACACTGTACACATTTTTTGAATTTAGTGGTCAAAATAAGAAATTGTACTTGGTACTTAGTAGCCTGACAATCTGACATTGAATATTATAAGTCATCAAACTTGTAAGTAGGTACCTACCTATACTAAGCCACAATGTCGGACAATGGCACAATATTTCTATACTTCATAGTATTATTATTTACTATTGATTACATTACATTCACTTATTATTAATTATTGTTATTATAGAAGTTAAAACTGAGTCACAATTATAACATAATTAGGTGTGTACCCGATGTCAGATATATCTGATTGCGTGGGCCCACCATATTATAGACAACTTAATTACTTACACATTTTCAGATAATTTTAAATCAATATACCAATCATCAATTCTATTCATTATTTTTAAATGCTTGTGCAATCTATTTTTGTATTTCTGTCCTGCCACCTAAATAATTATATAAACGCTTTTTCTTAGTTATTTTATCGCCGGAAATTAGACAGAAATATATGTGAAGTCCATGGAAATTAATTTTTAAAACATTTTTTTATGATACTGATTACTAACTACTGAAGAGTAAAATTAGCTAAGAGTTGTAACTTGTAAGGAGTCAACTTCTGAGAATTGTGTTCAGCATTTAAATCTTAGGTATACAAATATTAATAATTACTACCTATACAAAATACAACTAATAACTTTATTAATACAATGCACTATATATAACTATGCAGAGTGATTCAATAAACATGCTCATCCAATTTTTTTTTTTAATTTAGTACAGTTATTTACAAATAGTTATACACAGCTAGGTGATCATACTTGGCGAATCACTCTGTACTGCAAAATAGTATGTTAGTAAATAATTAAATGTCAATTTAATGTGGTAATATTTACAATTTACCTTATACCGTTTGTATTATTACTTTTCATATTGATAGTTAATGTTTAATATTAAATTCGTTTTAAACTTCTACCTAATATTTACCTTGTTGTTATAGTAATTTTGAATATCAATCGATGCGAGTTGTTTGTATTTCAGAGACCATAAACTCATAGTAATATTGTAATTGACGCTTAAATAATTTTGAAATTCTTCGCAAGTGCCTAGATACGTTTCATTGATAAATATTGCTTCAGTATCTTGACGTTTCGCACCACCGAGAATCTATAAACAAGATAAGTTTTAATATCTATAAAAGTACTAAAACCACCTATTCAACTGTAACTTTTATTTATTTATACTTGATTTATTTTCCATAAACATCTCGTCCATTCAATGTCCATAACGCCTTTAATAATATATTTATCAATCAATTCATGGCGATGTTTCACCAAATTCTAAAATTGAATAACTATTTTATATAATGATTAGGTACATTTTAAACACCTAAATGAAAAATGAACATACAAGAAGTAGATATTTAGTTCTTTGAAAAGATGTAGATAGTATATAACCAACAACTTTTATGTTCATTTTAGTTGACATTGTGGTTTTAAAAGAATTTGTATTATTTTTAACGGTAGGTACCTAATACAAGACGTTTAGGAGTTGAATGGAAAATTAATAATTTATATGTTTAGTTGTCCGTTACTTGGCTACCTCAACATTGTTTAATTTTTTTTTTAATATAAGTACAGAATATAAAGTTGCTTTTAGATCAGAAAAAAAAGTATAAGTAACTTAGATTAAGATTTAATTAAAAAATAATACAATTAAAATTGCATTTCTGATTAATCAAAAACCTAGCTGGTTATTATTATTATTATTATTTTAGTAGGTATCTAAATTTCTATTCAACTCTATATAAAGAATTAAGAGGCCGTCACATTGGAAAAAAAATTCACCTTAAACAAAGCTTTCATATTTCCAATATCACTCAGACCTCGTTGGTTGTAGAAATATGGTTTTAATACCGGAATCGAGTGCAAGGAAGAAATTTAGTAACCTCTATCAACCGTTTTCACTGGCTAATTCTTCCAAATCCAGGCTCATATATGATTTCTACAAAACTATTGCCTCAATAAGATGATAAGCATGAGAAGTTGAACTTTTCAGTCTTAGAGCAGATTTTTTAAATTTTCCTGTTTATTTGATTTTGAAGTTAATTTTAATTTTTTGAAAAATCATTGAAAATTGGACGTTACATCCGCAGTGTAATCTATGTCCACTTTACTATGCCTGAAAAATCATTTTACTCTGTTATTTTTTATAATGTTAGAGGGAATAATTCATTATTTTATTTTATTTGAAAGATCTGTTTTCATTTTAAATTTAAGCTGAATTGAATCCAAGTCATTTAATGGTATCAATATCATTTCCATACACTTTTTTTATATTTAATTCAAAGAACTTAATGAGTATTTCACAGCGGAATGTGAATATAACATCTCCTTAATAGTTAAGACAAGTAGCTAAGTACCTGCAGTAGCGTGAATAGGATTGTGGTTTACGGAGGAGGGACAACATTTTTTGTGAAAACGTGTATATTATTATGGGTCTCCCTTTTTTAATCAATTTTGTTACTTTGTTGTAATTTAAAAATGAACAACAGTAGATACTTAAAATGTTCACCAAATACTTATATATATATATATATATATTAGAAATGTCTATTCATTTCAAAATATTCTGAGCCTTTTTGATCTATTCACAGACAAAAAAAGTTTGTCAGTTTAAAAATATTGAAAATATACATAGGTACCATATTTTTTAAATTAGTGTATACATTTAAAGTTTGTCAAATTTACGAAAATTATTGCAAATTATTCTGTAGTTATGAATTTATAAACTTTTTAACAATAAAGCTGTAAGGCTTAAAATAAATACAAGGTTCATCATATTATGTTGTTTTTTCGGCAGTTTAAAAATATCATTATTGAAGTTCAAATTTTTAAATTCAATGTTTATACGTTAAATTACGATTATTCTGCTAACAATTTTCCTTATTTTAATTCAATTTAAGAATTATAAATCGATGCAGGGTTTTTTCCATCATACATATTATTATGTATATTATTATTTTCTATGAACAACATAAATATATAATTTAAATATATAAATGAATTCTATATAATTATGTAGAATATCCTTAGAAATTGAGGCTGAATTCAAATTTAAGGTATGCGGTGATCTCTAAACTATCTACTCATGGCATGAAAGTCAAAACCTACTATATAGCAGAGGGACTTCTCCGGTGTTTTAAGTTGTGTTATAGTCGTTATGGAATTAAGATAACAAAGGTACGTTTAATGTGTGAAAGTGTGTTTAACCTTGTACTAAAAAACTAAATGTTCAAATCTTAAAATTAGAATAGACAATTTTATGTATTTCTATTTTTATAATACTAAAATAAATAGTCGGCTAAAATGTCGTTTCTCTAAACCTACTAGTTGATCTAACCAACTAGATAAATACAAACAAATGTTAGACTACCTTAGTTACTAACAGACGAATGTAAAAATCAGAGACTAAGCTCAGATAATCAAAACTCAATCATTTTTTTTTTTTTTGTGAACTTGATACTTATGGAGTACAGACGCTTAGTAAAATATTTAAATATATACAAGTGGACGTGGATTTTGACGCATAATTGTGTTGCATATATGTACGTTTTCGGGCGCTTTATAGTTCGTTACTTAAATTGGTTTTATACTTTTTTTGATTAAAAATATACAAATATATAATAATAAAGTACCAAAGCATTTCATATACGTACTTTAAATTATTATGCTTCATGAAAAGAGTCATTCTTATTTTTCAATGACAGACAAAAAAATAATATTTAGTCATTTATAAATTATAATTTATACAGTGGTATAAATGTATAATAATGTATTATAGTTTATTATATTTGAAAAAAAAAATATATATACACAGGTAATAGAAGTTTCAAAACTAGACATTTTTTATGATATTTTAATTTTTGTTTTTAATGGAATATATGGGTATTAATAAAATATAAATGTATAATGGTATATTAATCTTAATATTTAATTTAATATACATTTTATATTGTTATGCAAACAATAATTTAATAATCAATTTTTAATTACATGGTGATATAAGTAGGTTTTAACACAATACTTTTCATTTCTAGACATAAGTATATTAATTTATAACATTTGCATTTATTATAAATTATAGTGGCCATAACTGTTAATATATGAAATTAAAAATCGTTTTCTATCACATATAATATATATCATGACAAAGAATGTGGCATGTGTATATTCATATGTATTAGGTAAAAGAGCCAACGTGAGAGAATCTAAATGAATGCCTAATTTTACTGTAAGGTTGGAATAGGTTAATTTTAAATGAGTCCCCAAATGTTTACACATTTTAGACCATGATCAGTTTTTTGTTAACTGTAATACTGTATTGAATAAGGTATACTTCATACTTAATAATATTAATTAGAGATAATTGATGATCAATTTTTTTCCACTATGTATACGAAACTGATAAGGACTACTTTTTGTTTTTAGTGCACATGTATATGTATTATATTATATATGTTTATGATTTATCTTGTAGACATGTAGTCGTTAAGTTAATATTTGTATCCAATACTTGACAGTTTGAAATATTTTATACATGTACCTACCTACACGTGTACCTTTATTACCTAACTAATAATCTCAAAATTAATAAAGTTATTTGTGTATCATCACGTAGTTTAATACTTATTAGTTAGGTTACTTACTATCGTATATTATAGTTCACGTACGCCTACGATAAAGTTATAATATTTTAGATTCCGAATTGCAAGCTAGTATATTTAAGTAAGCACTTTTACGACCAAAGGAATAATGCATGATCAAAGAGACTTAAAAGTTAAAATGAGAAAGAACTTATTCTGAACTTTTCAACTTATCCATGCCAACAAGCTTTTTTGTACCAATTTATTCCTTTTGCTTATTGTTTTACATGTTTAAATTATATATTTATTTTAATGAGCAATTAAAAATGAGGAATAGACAATGGATCATTTGGATTTCATTTAAAATTGTACTTAAATAGTACGTAAAACACTGAAATGCCTCCATATTATGGTAACTTCATAACTCATGTATACTTTTACTAAAAACAAACGATTAATATTTTTTATTTTTGAAATAAAAGTATATGAATATTAATGTATATTATGGCTATTGATTAGGAGATAGGTACATAAACTCATTTTAGGGAGGATACAATTATCAAAAACTTTTAAATGGTTCATAATCCATATCTATAATCCATTATCTCAATTTCTTTTAGATTTAAAAAAAACGTTTGTAAGAAAATAAAATACATTAAAAATAATCTTAAGACCAGTGTGTGCCTAAATTTCTCATTATATGAGAAAAATTAGAGTTTCCATATTATATTTAGTAGGTGCCTAATTAACTATAGTACTTTGTAATATCACCGTGGTATTGTATGGTAACTCCACCTTTAAAAAATCCTAGATAAAGCAGATTTGTATTTTTAAATTTCTAATTCTATACGAATTGTACAAAAATTGTTGGTGATGGTTTTTGAAAAATGTATCAAAAGATATATTTTTTATCACTTATAAATTAGTGTGCACATTTTGTTGTTCTAAAGCATTTAATAATTATTTTTATTTTATCAAGCCAAATAAAACTATTAATCACAATTAAAATCACAAAAAAAAAAAAAATGCTGAATTATAAATTATTCGTCATATTATTATACTTTCACCAATTATTATAATTAATACCAGTAAGTACTTAGTTTAATAAAACAGTCTAGGTAAGCTCTGTAAGTAGTAAATGTATTATATCATATCTATTTTAAAACCGTTTATTAAATGTAATAAAAATCAAGCTATTTTATATTAAATTATAATTGAATAAAATAGAACTAAAAAATTAATTTCTTAAAGTTAAAATTGTAATAATTTAGTCAGAAATTAATTAATTTGAAGATCAGAATGTTAAAAACAGGATATTATGAGTTTGCCAATATAAACTATATTCAACTATGGTTAAAATAAAATAAGTACATTTTGGTATTGACCATAGTAGTTCAGCCATGTCGTATTTTTAGATACGTTAAATACAAATTTGATTATTATAAATACTTATTTATTATTATTTATTACCTATACCAAAAATATTTACTTATAGTTTTATACGACTACAAATTAATATTATTGGTTTAATTGTATGGTTCATTTAATACCTACCAAACAATTTACAATACAGGTTTATGTAATGTAAATATATATAACAATTTATTTTAATGAATTTTACTCTTTTTTAGTATACTCAAAAAAAAATATTAATGTTTGAATTATTTTAAGAACACTTGTATTTTTTACAATTACTGAAGTAATAGTTTTAATAAGTGAGTGATAGAGCTTATGGAGAGCCTTATATAATTGTTAATTTGAATGTGACGAAATGTTGTTTTCTGAAAAGTAAAATCACTAAAACCAATTCCTTGTTAAATTTAAGTATAAATAAGATCCGAGTGACAAAAATTCACAATGTAACAGTTAAAATTATGATACTTTGTGCATTAAATTAATTTATTACCTAATTAAAATTTAATATAGACACAAAATCAAGTCTCCTGCTTCTACATAAATAAGAAAATATTTGATATTTTATATTTCATAACTATAAACACCTACAGTTTATTTGTATGTATATTATAAAGTTAACATAGATCGTTCAATAATGAACAATGTGTGCTATGATCCACAAAACTATAATTATCAAACCCGATAAGTATTGCTATATTGTCCAAGATAATAATGTATAGAACATGGATAGGTCATAGGTACACTATACGCCTTGTACACAATTAATGCTTGTGCAAAGTTATCTAAAAACAGTACATTACTGTGTATGAAATATTTAAAAGAAAAGTAATTAAACAGTAAATAACCTAGTACCTATAATTTAATCAATATTTTTAAAAGGTAGTTGAATAATACATTAATACATTTGATAACTACATACAATTTACTGGCTAATAAATTGTAGCAAGGCTATAGAAATAATTCTAGTACAGTTTTCGGAAGAAAATATTATACATTTATAAATACAATAGTATAGTGAGAATAGTTCAATGGTGACATTTTCAAAAATTCCTATTTATAAAACTCAAATCGTAGCTAAATTTTAATAATAGATCTTGATGTTTTTTATTCCCGTAAGTCCCAACCAAAAACAGTTTGCATAACCTCAATAAAACAAAACAATTAATTATTTTTTCTGAAAGACGAAATTTGTGTAAAATGTATTAACATAGTAAAAATTCAAAATAACTCAATGTATTAATTCTGTCTTTTCATATATATTGTTTTCAAAGAAAATTTCAAAGCATTTTAAAAATATAAATATGTATAGAATGATTCACCAATCATGCTCCCTCCATTTTTCTTTAACAATGAACTTAATAAAATACTGATTTTTTGAATTTTTTAGTATACTTAAGGAGGGTCATGTTTTAAACTATATAGATTATTGTTATTCAATTTAAACTTTAAGTCTAGTCTTCCTGGCTGTACGAACTTCTTTTATTCAAAAGAAAACCAACCCTTTTAATATACATTTTTAAACAGATAATTTTTTGTTTATTTTAAAATTTTAACTAATAGTTTCCGATTTATAAAAATGTTCATACTGCGCGTAATAGTCTGAAATTATTGGATTTATTATTATTTATACTAGGTAACACTATTTATTATACACTGAACATTTTTGAAAATTATAAAATGTTGAAAGATTAAGGAACATATTATATTATAATTATATATGTACGTATTATATAATATATTCCTTGAGTATCCTTAAAAGCCCAAAAATTAGAATTTGAATAAAAGCAGGGTGAGCATGGCTGGTGAATCACCGCATATATTATTTTAAAAACATATCTTTATACAATCTAAAAATATATATTTTAAAATTATTAAACAATAATGATAGTTTTAAATAATTTTAATTTTATTATGGTATTAAAATTAAACTAAAGTTTTGATATTTTCATTAAGGCGGTATTAGGCATTGATAATGTACTTAGATAGAATTAAATTAATAGAAAATATAAAATGTATTTTAGTTTAAAAACATTAAAAACGATCTTTAACAATAAAACAAATACGATTTGTTTGGGGTATAATAGTTTTGTGTAAAAAAAAGTAAAAATGTTTAATTGAATCATAATTGACGAATAGTTTAATTTTATGTATACTATAGATGGTAATTAATCTGCTTACCTTGCATGTAAGGTGTAATCATCAGGTACATTTTTTGCGTTCAATGCACTCTGTATAACTAACAGAAGATTAATAACATATATTTTTAAAAACTGTTATCACACTGTATGTCTCAGTTGGTTAAATGTAGTGGTATATTCACTTGCCATGTGTTCTCTTAAGTAATCCTGCATGGCACTTTGGCAGCAGTGCTGACTTAGTATTCGGTGCTATAGTTTCTATTCGACTGCCACGCTCAAAACAGCTCATTCACTTCCCTTAATACATTCCCCTGCGTAGTATTATAAAATGAGAATATTAATACATTTATGATTTTTAAACTGTTTTCTATAGTTGTTATTTCTTTTAATTTATTTGAATTTAAGTTTTAAAATACAAATAAAAACAGTGCATCAAAAATGGACAAAAATACAAATATTGATTTTTATATGGATCATTTAGGTAAGAAGCAATCTTTAAATACGGATTTATTTTTCATTAAAACAAATTAAATTGAAATGTATATCAGATGTTTTCTTTTTAAAGTACATTTTAATTTAAAATTTACATTGTTAAAAAACTAGAAGTATGCATTTTGTATATATTAGCCAGTAAAATATTATGTACCTATATTAAATTGCGATAGCTCATAGTAGTTTTTAAAATATTTATTTTAATTAAGACTTATATTTTATTTAAATTGCAATAGCTTTTTTTGTAGGTAAGTATAACTTTTTCTGTACATTAAATAATGTTTTATGTATTTATGTAATCTACTTTGCATAGTTTATATCATTCATCTAAAATAGACTATTTATGCATATAAAATTAATTATATAGTACCTATATAATATTTGATTTCCATTAATATAATACGTATTGTAGTTAATAATAAAAATTAAATTTTAGTAAAAATACTTAAAAAAATCAATCGAAGATTATGTATTTAATGCGTATAATATATACATATTTATTTAATTGGCGACATCAGTTGTAATAAAAATATGGTCAAGGTTATTACAATTTGTAGTCTTTTTGCATTTTTCCGTTGTATTTTCTGTAAAATATAATATAATGACCTCACATCATATAGGTACATTTCTTACATTTATACGTTTATCGGGTTATCAAGACCTCAATTTTAATGGCTTGTAATTTATGTTTATAATCTATGTAAAACATTTGAAAATGAACTTTAAATCGAATGAACACGTGTTATTTATCTATACTTACAAGACATACTATCAACAAATATAAATGATTTTTTTTTTAATGAAAAACGCAAAATAATTTACTCTATTGAGTTCACTGCACGTCTGCACGTATTATATATATATAATATAAATTTACAAAGCACATACAATTCGTACCTGAAAAATAATTTTATAGATAAAAATTGAACTGTGTCTGTAACACGTATGTTGATGATTAAGTTTTCCGTAGTTATTTCTTGCTTTTTCTCTATAAAGAAGCTAAAAGTTACAATTTGTGTAATGGAGTTTTCGCAAAAGATTTTTTTAGAAATCATTAGATTACTATCACAATTTATAGCACGTTATTCATTTTGAAAATATAAAAGTTTAAGTCAATTTGAACGTTTTTAATAAAATAAAAAAAATTTATAAATTATGAATCACACAAACTATTATAAACGGTTGTGTGTGTTAAGAAGTTAACGATAATAATAATAAACACAAAATAAATTAGATCTAGAATATACACTCGTAGTGTGTTATTATACAAACACGAGTAATTATTTTATAATTCTCAGACAATTATTAATTTCTTGATTGTCAAATAATAATTTTACCATGCAATTTGAACTAATAATAATGATTTGAACATTATATGAATGTTTTTCTTATCGTTGTGCATATAATAGCTTTGTTCATCCCATTTATATGGAATGAAGCCAAATATGCCCCAACTACCACTAACTCAAAATACATTTGTCACAGTCTTATAAAAATATATATACTATTTTGACGTGAAGTATTGAGTTAGTTCTAATTTATTTTGATCAGAATTCAGAAAGCCCTTTAGGGCTTCGTTGACCGCCATCCATATACATAACTAGAATGACAAATATAAAGAAATCAATCCCGTACCTACAAATTTATTTTCATTCATGGTTTACATTGTGTATAATGTATATATATGACGCGTATGTAAATGTGAAATTATTTTTAAAATTTAGTCTGAATAAATTTGTATTTTACTAAACTATTATTTTTTTAATCATATATTTAGTATAAATACATTTATGTTATAAAATCAATAATGCACGGTTGTTACGCATATTATATTATACTAAAATAAAATTCTAGTTAATATTATTATATTAGACAGACGAACAGTTTGTTTGTGATATATTTTCCCAGAATCTAGTAAAAACATAAATTTTTATTGGATTATTTTTAATTTATATTCATGTTTTATATTTCAAGCTTAGCGATTTTACAATGATGTGCACACATCTTTATTATAGGCTTTTGCAGTTCAAATTTAGACAAAATTGGTGTTTAATTTATTTAAACTATAAATATTTAGTTATATTATATTAATGATTTTAGTAATTTTTTATTTATTCAAAATTTTAATCAAGGATCTGCCTTAAATCTATTCGTCATCACATATATTATTTACTCTTTGAATATGCATACGTACAATAATAATTTCAGCTCAAACGATATATTTTGTAATTTTGTAGTAATGGAAAATATATTAATCATACTAATTTACAACATTAAGGTATTCCTTAAATTATTGTTTCTATATTATTTACTTTTACAATATATTATTATATTTTACTATAGGTACACCATGACATTTAAAACATATTTTGACTTATTTTGAGCTACTCCGTTCTACAGTACTCATATTGGTATTGACTTTAAATGTAATAATAATATACTATATGTGATGTATTTGGCATAAATTAGTTTGATTTAGGTACCACATATTATAATAACAGAAAAATAAATGCCTAATAGTAAAATAAAAAATTATAACCTATCTTTAGAAGTAGAGACGGTTCACAGTCTCAGCTCAGAATTGTTTTTCGTATGCAATGATTCATCATTGAATTTAAATTTAACAAATCTATTAAATTCACGAATTACACTCAAAAAAAATTCATACGACAGAGCGACTTTTCCGTTTTCCACCCATAGGGGAACTTTATATTAAAATTATTATTTCTATTAATATAATATTCAAAACTACAAATCTGTTGAAAGTAATTTTAAAAAAAACTAGTAGAATAACGATTCAAAATTTTTTTTGGTGATAAAATATTTTATATTGAATATTGAATGTTCAAAATTCAATAGTAATAAAAATTATAAAAATTAAATGCTAGTGGTAAATTAGAATTTAAAGTTATGCACTAGAAGTCTATGAGGTCCGACAATTAAGCTACTAACTGCTATGACATATGTAGTGCTTATTATAGTTAACATTTTATAAAACGTTATAAAAACGATATAAAATGTTAAATATCTATAATGATTTTACTATGAATAATTGGCCAGTGGCTATACGCCTACATGGGTAATTTACTTATGAAGTGAAACTTTGTTTTCAATTTTGGGCACAAAAATTCAAAATATATATACGTATTTTTAGTAAAACTGTGAAAATATCATATATCTAAGATAATTTTTTAAGTTTCAATAACACAACTAAAATCGTTATTGTTTAAAACATGTACCCACTTACGTATTTATATTGAGACGCTACAAAAAAAATGCTGTTAAAAATCCTTAAAAAGGCAATTTTCATTATTATAAAAAAAAGTGAAATTATTTTAAGATTTAACTCTACCCAGCGCGTTATAGCTTATTTTTCACTAACAACCGAAGTTATAATTAAACTATTTCGAGGATTATCGTTTATTTGTTCAACAAACAATATTAATATGAATATTTAATGACAATTATTATGCTATGAAATCATACTATACAACCTTTAAGCGATTTATTGTGTAAATTCAAAAATGTGTATCTTCTTAAAATATAATTTTTAGTATTTATACATAGTTTGGTTGTTGTCATTACTAACTACTTAGGAAGTGTAACTAATGTATCAAAAGTATACACGTATAGGTGTAGTTTAAGTATATATATATATATATATATAATATGATATGCTGTTTCATATTCTGGAAAATAAATAATAATGTGCTACATAATTTATGGTGTCAAATTATACTTATATGTTGTTATGTGTTGCTCATTAATTTTATATTGTTGCATACCAAACCTTTTTCTCCGTGTAAGTTATGTGTACATATGTTTTTAGGGGACTTCGGATCATACCAACTGCGGCAGTTTTTACTAAATCTAATGTCAGCATTCACAGCTGGTCTACACATGATGGTTTTAGTCACCGTTGCTGCTGTACCCGAATACAAGTATATATACAAATATTCACTCGTTTTCCCAGACTAGCAATAATAATAATATTATCAAAATATATGTCAAAAATATGAACTCAGACACTCGGACTATACCAATACAATGAGCAACCAAATTATTCTGTCTACTTTGACTATTCGTGTTCTGAGACACCTTCATGATAAGATTGACTCCCTAACCTAACCTAGTATCTTGCGCATTGCTTAAGGTTAGAAACTAAGAAGGTAGAAACTTGTATTATCTGCAGTTAAAATGTTATATGTTTGTCAAATTAACCTATTTGAATTCCAAAATTAGTTTTTTTGTTGGACAATACTTCAGTTGACACTAAATATACAGTAAAATGTTAGAAATCAGAAAGCTAATTTGAATTAATCAGTACATTTATTTTAATGAGTTCTCAATAATCCCACACTATCAAGCACTTATATATTAACAAAATGATAAATTTGATATGTATTAGTGTATTATGACTGTATTAGTATGCTTGTGAAATGTGAATGTACAAACGCTCATTTATACATGTATCTTTTATCTACACTTTATTTTCTTTTTCATAGAAAACAAAAAGTCAGATAGGACTCAAGAGTACATAGGTATGACTACAATACTACCTATATAGCTGTAAAAAATCATCTTAATTCGTTCGTCTCGTTTGTATGTATTGTATACTTTAATATTTGTATATAATATGTTATATTATATCCATTTTATTAGTTTAACAGTACGAATCAACAAATAATTTATTAATATAGATTTAAAATCAATAAAATATTATCACGTTCTAAAAACTGTCCTGAGTTAAGGTTGTTGAAGATAAAATATAAATTATGGTTTTTTTAACAATATATTTCCAGGAGTTCAAAATACCTAAAGTAAAAATGAAAAAAAGTACCCAATATATTTTATACTAATCTAAATCTTTAAATGACCTTAATGTTTCGAAAATTATTTTAATTTTACAAGTCTTTTGAATACCTAC